GAACTCCGCCGAGCTTCACGCGGTTGAGAGAATACACCAGCGCCGTGTTTGCGCCGCCCGCGCGCTCGACGATATCGATCGTCGTCCACTTGCCGTTAACCCAGACGTCCATGACTCGATCCCCCGCGCCCACCCCCGCTTCGACCTCCGCGAAATAGAGCAGAACCATGAACTCATTAGCTTGATCCACGGGGAAGAGTCCCGTGAAATTATACCCCGTGGTCTTGGATTTCCCGCCCGCAACTCGCGCTGAGGTGAATAATTCGTTCGGCAGGCTGAACGATTCCCAGCTCGCGGGAACCGTTACTTTTGCTGCTGCCGTGGCCGCTGCCACGTTCACCCACGGGTCCGACTTGGACGAGGCCACGTCAGCATCCCACGTGCGGTGCCCCGGGTCGGTGCCGCTGGGCTCGGGGCCAATGGCGGCGCCGCCGGCGTTGATGCGCACCCAATTGGAGAGCACCACGTTGGATCCCGTGGTTGACGCGAAATACGCGTCAGTGTCCACAGGGAGGACTTGTAACGAGTTCACAAACGGGTTCCCTTGAAACGGGAGAAAGCACACGCTAATCTGATGCTGCTGCTGCTGCGAGGCGTTTCCATCCCCGTTATCAGCTCCATCCGCAGTTGTTTCAGCAGGCTGCGAAAAGGCGATGTAGTCAGTGTAATAGGCCGTGGTGTTGAGCCCCTTAATTCCCACCACCTCCACGAAATAGTCGTTAATGCTCACCCCCACGCTCGGGTCCAGATTCAATGGCAGCAGGTTGTAATAGTTGTTATCGAAACTGCAGGGGGAGGAGGAGGAGGGGGAGCGGGAGGGGGAGGAGGGGGCGATGGGGGGGAAAAAGGGCAAGGGGCGGTGCAGGAGAGCATAAAGCAAAAGGAGGAGTGGGCAAGAATATGAGAGGAGAGTGTAAGGGATGCAAGTAGCCTTGATACACATACACGCTGTTCGCCAGAAACAATAATTCAATTGCTCCATACAACTCCACGCCATTCCATACTAGTCCTTCTATGATGCTTCCATGCGACTCCACGCGATTCTACGCTGCGCGACTCACTTGTTATAGCTGAAGCTGAGGCGCACGAGGTATCTGCCCGGCGTCACGGGCACGCGGTAGCAGCTGTCGCCCACCTCCCAGTACCGCAACGTGCGGTCCACCGGCTTCAGTAGCCCGCCCGCGTAGTATGTCTGCACGCCAGGCAAGGCGGCAGCGGCACGGGGAAGAGGCGACGGAGGTATGGCGCACGTTGCATGGCGCACGAGGCATGGAGCAAGGAGGTATGGCGCACGGGCACGGAGCATGGAACACGGAATGGCGCACGGGAGGCGCAGAAGCAGAAATGACACTTACGCGTCGAGGACGGGTGTCACCTCGAGTCCGCATGACTTACCGGTTGAATGGATTTTGCTGTGCCGTTAGCGAAGTATTGATCGGGTAACCACATGATTCCGTCGGTGTCCGTGCTGCCCTCCACGCTACCGCAATCCACTCGAATTGGATCTACAAGGTGAAATTTGGCGGGGAGAAACGCAGCGAAGCCCAAAGCACAACGTTAAGAGGCATGACAATGAGCGACACGTGCAGCACACGAGGCGTTAGGAATGGAGCGTGCAGCAGGAGGGATGTGTAGCGGAGGGAATGGTGGGAAGAAGGGAGAGATATGTAGGAGAGTGCAATAGGAGGGATGTGTAGCAGAGGATTCCACAGTTCAATGGGTGTCAACGACGGCGCTAGCGAGCGACTCTATTAAATTAGCGAACGACATGGATCTACGGGTGTCGTCGCCAGACGAGAACGAAGGGCAGCTAGATTGACAACTCCCGAGCGTAGCGGTGGGATCGTATCTTGAGCGCTCTTCACGCTTCCTTTCCCGCAGGGTGGGCGTTAGAGGCGAGTGATCACCTTGGGGAGCGAGGAAAGCGGATGTTGATCGGGTCCATAAGGCAAGGAGTGCTACAAGGGCCACGGCCACGCCGAGAGACGCTCTTTGTGGCCGTGCTCTTGTCCCTGGCGAATACGTGTGCCGTGTCATTGCGTAAGAGAGCTCGAAGAAATACTTAGCGCCAAGAAAGGGCAGACGTGGTGGACTCGATGATTTAATCGATGAACGGAGAGGGCTGGAACGCTAAGCGCGGGTAAGAAACGAAGAGATCCTAAGGATGGATAGATAATGGGTAGACTACCAGACTTGGTTTCTAAGCGCGACGCCGTTTCCGTGTGCTCTGCTGCAACAGTTATGGATGCTTGCTGAAGATGTGTGTGAACGCACAGGCGCCTGCTGATGGCTAGAATGAAAGAAACACGAAGGTGAGGTCTTGTGATGGTTGGTTGTCGAAATGCGTGCCGTGAGTGAGACGGAAAGGAACACCGACAGTGACGAGGCCTCAACTGAAGGAAGGAGGGGTCTGCTCTGCACGACAGAGGGCGTAGCGAAGAACTAGGCTGCTAGAGCGTGTGCCAGGTGGCTGAAAGGGCGAGCAGAACAAAGTGAGCGGAAAAGACGCAGGAGCGGGAGGGGAGGAAAAGAGCAGCCAAGTCGACAGGAAATTGAGAGAGAAAGAAGTGGGAAGGCGCGGGAGGCCAGAGCGAGTCGGGGACCTGGATGATGACGGGAGCGGGCAGTGCGGAAAATGCCATCAGTACAGTTACTGTACCACATGAGCAGTTGTCTGGTGGTGGTCTGGTCAATTTGCGCGGCTTGCTTTCGGTTCCGTTTGTTCCTCCTCGTGTGTTGTTGCTCCACCTGGATAACATCCCGCCTCGGGCAGGCACGCACTGCGGCAAAATATTTTCCCGAGGCCATTCCCCTCGGTTCTGCCTGCTGATTTTATTGCTTTGCCCGCTCTGCTGTGTGTGCCAGAGCAGAATGTTTGATTCGTTTGCGAAGCGCGGGTGCGGTCGTCTCGACTCTGCAATTGGAGGGTCCTGGTCCTGCCGTTACGGGTAGCTCTTTCATAAACCGCGACGCGTTTCGCCAAAGTTGAAGTTTCTGAGTCGAGTCGCGTGATGTGGCGTCCAGCAGACAAGCCACCAGACATAGCGGTTCGATTTCCTACGCAAAATTTCCCGACTGAATTCCTACCGCCAAAACGTTCCCCTGAGCCTCAGAGCCTTCGAAGAAACAGGGTCGACATTTCAACAATCCCCGCTCCCTCATTGGCCATTCCACCACGGTGATGTCAACACCCCAAAGTGAAACATCCCCGCAGGTGAGCTACAAGAGCACCCTCGATAAAATCACTCATTTATTCCGCATAAACAAATCAGCTTAGCGTCCAAAGTTTGGTAAACATTTTAAGAGTACTGCTGTTCTGTAACACTTCTAGTAACATACCGGAAAGTGGTGCACCACCAACCTTCTCAACTTCATCTCTACCACCCTCATCCCTCGCCTGCATTCCTCCAGGTAGTCTACCACCAGCATCAAATGGTGCACCACCACGAGCTCTCAACTCGTCTCAGTGGTTCCCACTCCACACACGCTTCTGTGGTTTCCACCCAACCCTAGGTTCCCTCTCACTGCAGCCAAGCCTGGGCTGTTCCCCTCGAGCTTGCTCCCTCCCCTCCCTCGCCCTGGCTCCTCCCCTCCCCCCCACCGTGCTGGTTCCCTCCAGCCTTCCTCCCGCCATGGACCATCTCTCCCCTGATGTTATGACGTGGACCTCGAATCTAGACTTCACTATTTGTCCCAAGTCCACAGCTATCCCCGCCGAGCCTAGTGCTAATTACGTCGGTGGATGTCGATTAGGGTTATCCCATCACGACGCAGTCACCCTAGATGAATTAAATAGTGGTATTATCCATGAGACCAGCGAAGGCAATAGCGCTTTAGCCACTCTTGCTAGAACGACCCCAGCAACCGCCGTCGCGGCCGGCGCGGCCGACGCAAAGGGCGCTGCTGGTGATATTTCCAATCCAGGATTCCGCTTGCGTGGTGAGAAATACCAGTCGCACGATGAGATACATGACGAGGATGTTGCGCGCATGCGAGCCGTTGATGAAATGCAGGCAGAGCCCCTTTCTGCTGCCGCTGCTGCTTTCGAGCCGTGTGCGGCAAAAGGATATTCCGAGGAAGAAGGAACGTCGTATCGCCATCCTTCGGCATCGGCGCCGGCTGAACCGGTGACCAGTAGAGTGAGGACCTCTGAATCCTGCGAAGAGAGTAGCAGAGCAGCAGAGTCCGTTCTCGCACGCACGCAAGCAAATGGTAGCGAAACGGAAGGGCGCTGCAACAAACAGCTGACGCCGATACGCAGTCAGCCTTCTGTCACTGCTAACGGCCAGTCGTCTCCCCGAAATGGCACCGCTCGTGCCCTCGACTCAGCACCGTGTGATGCTGCCGTGCCGTCCGCTTCTGTCACTCCGAACGCTAATGCCCAAGCGCAACTGCGCACCGATTCGCACTCGGACCCCATATTTCGTTCTGAGGGCGGCGGTAATTCCGCCGAAGCGACACTGCGCTCTTCTCGTGGATGTGAGTCGTCAGGGAAGTGCGCCGCGCCTGGAGCAGATTGGGCGAGTGCAGTATTGCCTGCTTCGACTGTCGTTGAAGGAAGGATATCTAGTGCTAGTGCTGCCGCTGCTGCTGCTGGTGCTGGTGGTACTTCTGTTGGTGCTGTTCCAGGAGGAGGGCTAGGAGGGAGAGGAGGTGTGGATGTGGCAAATTCAGGCGCCCATGGGTCCGTGACTATGGCTGCAGAGGCTTCTGTTGTACGAGTATCAGAATCGCCCGCTACCAGGACACTAGCGCCTAGTGCATCAGCGACTGAGGCTGTGAATGCGACACCGGTTGCGTCTGCGAGTGCCTCTGCGACACCGGTAACTGTGGCTGCGACTCCAGGGGTTGTGACTGTAAGACGAGTGGTTGCTGCCGCAGCAGCGAATGCCGCTGCAAATGCGAAATCAGCCATTGCGAGACAAAATGCTGGAGCCTCAGCGCTGGCTACACCTGTGCCGGCTACAGCGGTGCCGTTTACAGCAGTGCCGGCTACAGCAATGCCGGCTGCAGCATTGCCGGCTGCAGCAGCGCAAGCCACAACAGTGCCGCCCACAGCAGCGCCAGAGAGAATGGCGCCGGTAGCTGCATGCGCATCAGCGAACGTTCCAACGTCAGTTGTCGCTGGCACGAAGCAACCCCCGCACTTACGAGACAGTCATCTGACCGACCGTCGCCCGTCCACTCCCGGTTCCCCTCCCCGCGCGGCAGCAGCAGCATCACTTCGAGGAGGGGCGGCTGGAGAAGTAATGGGAGTGGCAGGAGTAGCGGGAGTAGCGGGAGTAGCAGTTTCTGCAAGCGCCGAGGCGGCAGGCTTATCACATTCCACCTCGATAAAGTCCTCCTCGATAACAGTCCCGCCCGTGAAGCAACCAGCAGCTGCGGCTATCAGCAGGCCTCCTATGCGTGTGAGCAGACCGGGTATAGCGGTGGGTCTAGCAGTGGATAGGGGGGTAACTGAAAGCGGGCAAGCGGTTGCTGCTGCAGCGCGTGTATCCATAACGCCAGTGCTGGCGTCCGCAGTGACTCCTGCTTCTGTGGCAGCAGCAGCAGCAGCAACAGCAGCTTCGGAGCGAACGGGAGTGGGCGGGCACGCGGGAGGGACTTCCGATAGGAACAGTATTAGGCTCGCCCCGTCGGTGCCACCGCCTCAGCACCCGCAGCAGCAGGCAGAGCAGCAGCAGCAGCAGTTGCTGCCGCCGCCTCAGCAGCAGCAGCAGCAGCAAGTGAACCAGGGCACTTGGCATGGTGTACCGGGCTACTCTTCGAATGTGCCTCCCGTAAGTGTACCAGGTGTTTTTCATTCAGGTAATTACCCACCAGTGGACTGCCCGAGATCTCTTGAGACCCGTCCTCCCCCTCCCCCTACTGCCACTGTTGCTGCTCCTCCTGCGGCTGCTCCCGTTGCTTCTCCTGCTGCTGCTCCTGCTGCTGCTCCTGTTGCTCCTCCTGCCGCTGCTCCTCCTGCTCTTGTCGCGGTTGCTTCGCCACTGTCTATTATCCCTCCTGCGCCACAGCCGCTGGAGGTCACGACCGGGTCTGGCGCTGCCCCTAGCAGAGCGGGTAGCGGCGGGAACGGCGGGAACGGCGGTGCTGACGCAGGCGCTGCGGCGGGGCAGGCACCGCAATCGTCGGAGAAGGGCGGGAAGAAGGACAGGAAACGTGACCGGCATAAGAAAGCATCGGACGGGCGGAATCCGATGATCCGGCTGAATCCTGGAACGGCCGATCGTTTTTTCGCGATCCAACGGTTACTAGAGAGTAAGCGCGCGAAGCGAACATCAGGGTCGTTCGTGATTAACTGGCTTATCGATATCTCACATGCGAGCATTCAGCGGGTGGTGGAGGATGAGGGGCAGGCGGGGGAGGGGCTTGGGTTCGGCTTGGTGGGAGGGTTCAGTGGAAACCGGGGGGACATGGAAGCAGATGAGGAGGACGAAGAGGAGGAAGAAGGGGAGGATGAGAGTCTGATTCCCGGATTTGCAGGGCTGATTATGGACCATGGACAGTCTTTTATGGACGGGGATTTTGGGCAGCCAATGGAGTGGGATCAGACTTTATCGCAGCAGATGTTTTTGCCTGGTCAGCAGCACTCGCAGGCGCAGTGTCAGCCGCAGGTGCTGTCTGGGCTGCTTCCTCCACCCTCCCATCAACTAGAAGCGCAGCTGCATACGTTCCAGCAGCATCCTGAGCAGCAGCAGTTGCTGCCACCGCTGCAGTGCCAGCAGCAGCAGTCTCAACAGCAGCCGTTGCCTCAGCAGCAGCCGTTGCCTCAGCAGCAGCCGTTGCCTCAGCAGCAGTCGCAGGTTCATCAGGAGATGGTTTTCCATGAGAAAATGGACCAAATTCAAGAATTTTTGGAGCAACCTCTCTGAGAGTCTGCCAACCCCCATGAAGCAAGTTATCATAACAGTGAAGCCTTTTTATATCCCTCAGTTTGTGAATTCGAGTCCAGAGCACTGTACATACCTCAGTTCTAGCTACCTCTGGTCTGGTGTCATGAACTGTGAGTAGGGTTCACAGCTCTTCCCTTCATAAATTCTTTTATTCTTAGTCTCCCGTCATGTGCTGGGTGACGATTACCATAAGTGAATAATCGTAACCGATTTTATTGCATAAATCAGAACTGATTATGTGAACAATTCCATTGCTTCGTACGCTTTACTATGTTATCGAGTGTGTAGTCGGGCCGCTGTTTCTCGAAACTTCGTTACAATTTGGGGGACCTGCGTAGGTGTGCCTTCTACACCCAGCCAGGTTTTGTATTTGGGCAGGTTGATGTGGCATGCTCCTCACAGATTGGACAGCAACCAATGGCCGTATTTCTCTCCCCAGGTAACTTGGTCATCGAATCGCGTCCGTCGGTTACAGTTTTGGATCTCCGGGGGTGGAATGGCGCTATTCACAGCATTATCCTGCCCGAATACTCCAGAACTTGCTATCATGCCCGACATTTCTGGTACTGGCGGCCGCACCACCTAAATATCTGGCAGCACGAGGCGGAAGTCGAGGGCAATCTGGCGACCGATCTCGCCACCCTGACCAAATGGAAAGTCTGTTTTCAATGCCAGCCCACCACCACCACCCACCAACCAGGACAGCACACACACAAGAACAGGACCCCAAGACGACGAGTCACGTCACGAGGGACAGGGCAGGGGAGCACAGCCAGAGGGAGACCCAACTTCAAGGCTTCACCGTACCATGATGTACTGTACCACGCACAACCACGCTGCCGAACATGGCATCTATGGCACGATGAAGTTGTCATTTTAACCTAGAACCTTATTCAACCGCTGTCAGAAGCAATCGAAACGCAGAACATACAATCAAACCGCATCAAAGTGGATTCTCATGTCATGCCCCCAAATTCTTGTTGTATCGCACCATCCAATTCAGACCCACCCACCTCCCATCCCAGAATTCAGAGCACACCACGCCTGCGCTTTTCGCCATTCGCCGCCGCACAGCAGCAGCAGCACATGCTCCCTGCTCCCACTTTGTGCATGCTCGCTTTGACGAGCCGCATCACTTGAACTGGTTCGCCTTCACGCCTTGGTGGACGTGGCTGCCAGTGAACTGCGTTTGAATCCTCGACTTCATCGTGGCTGCCATAGTTAGTTTACCATCCGTGATTTTATAGCCAATTGTTTCTGCTTCTCGATTAGGCCAGTCTTAGCACGCGATATTTTCTAGGTATAGGCTCAGTAGCGAAGAACTTCGTTTCTTGCACGTGTAGATTAGGTAATCAGGTTGAATTCGAGCTCCCTTTCGATGAACGCTTCCCAGTAAATTACTCTTTAGAAAGGAAAGGAAATGAAAGCTGCCTGTGTTGCGGACGGCATGCAGCCATTGAAAGGGTTGCGAGCAGCAGCAGCAGCAGCAGCGGTACGAGTCAACAACACTGGCACAGACAGCAGCAGCCACCGCTTTCCGACGACAACATGCAGTCTTCGGTTTCTGACTCGCGCGCACGTATACGTTACCGAACCGTGAGCTGTCTCCATGGTCGTAGCGTTGGCGCACTCGCCTTCTAGCCTTCTAGCCTTCTAGCCTTCTAGATCCAGCTTAACCGTCGCGCTCTTCGGCTCCTCTTCTCCTCCGCGCCAATTCTTGGTTAACCTTCTCCTCCAGCTAATCCGAACTTAAGATTCAAAATCTCCGCTTTCCTCCTTTCCCGCCTCCCCGCCTCTCGCCTTCTCGCCGCTATCTCTCCTGTCTCCGCGCCTCTCTCTGCACTTTCCTCCCTCCCATCTCCTCTCTCCTCACTCCTCTCTCCTCTCTCCTCTCTCCTCTCTTCTCTCCTCCATGACACATGGATCCCCTCGCCAACATATTCATGGGCCGCCATGGCCACTGCTGTCACCCCACCGCTCCCTTCTGCACCACAACCGCACCAGATCCCTTCTCAGGTGCCAGCACCAGCGGCAGCAGCGGCAGCAGCAGCGGGATTAGCGGCGGCGATGTCTGTCCGGGCAGCAACGGGCTCTCCGATAGAGGCAGCTGCGGCGCCGCGAATGGCGCGGCGGGGATGGCGCTTCCGCCGTACCCCGCCGGCTGTCGCGGCACTGGTGGCGGTTTCACGTTCGGCGGCTTCGGAGGCATCTTGGCCGCGTTTCTGAGCTCCACTAGTGAGGCGATTGGCAGGGCCAGTAGCGGAGCGGGCTACAGCGGGGATGGAGGTGGAAGCGGGGGTAGGTCAGGAAGCAGTTGGGATTTAGGATGGGATCCCGCTGAAGCAGGAAGCAGCGGCGGCGGCGGCAGCGGCGGCTGGGACGGGGACGGGGGGATGGGCACCGGTTTAAGCAGCAGCAACAGCACGCTATTTGTGTTCTCGGACGTGTTTCCACCTGGGTGGCCTTTCTCCCTCCTCACCGGCTGGTCTATCGCCTTCCTCATCCTCACGCTCCTCGTCGCATTCGTCGTCCATCGCACCGTGCGACACTGGCAGCTGCAGCTGTCCGTCGCACGGCTGAAAGCCGCGGGATTCCTTCGCCACGCGCTCATGCGACGCGGCGACATGCCACTCGCAGACCACTCGTGGTTCGTGGAACCGTCGAAGAACCTTCCTGGCCCGATCACCTGTTGCGTGTGTATGGAAGAGATTGACAAGACGAAGGAGAGAGCGGATGGGGGGGGAGGGGGAGGGGGAGGGGGAGGGGGAGGGGGAGGGGGAGGGAGCAGCGGGGAGGAAGCAGCGGTAAGAGGGGGAAGCGCAGGAGGGGCGGAGGGACTCGGGTGGAAAAGAAAAGAGGCGGGAGATTATCCCGAAGGGTTGGGGATCGGTTGTGGTAGGTGTGAAGGGGAAGATGCGGGAATAGCGGCAACTCCGCTGGGGAGAGCGGGGAAGAGGGGGAGGGGGAGAGGGGGGCGGTCGGGGAGGTGGCGGAACCTGGCGGAGGAAGGCGAGGGGAAGGGGGAGGGGAAAGGGGGAGGGCGGGGAACGGTGGGAGCTGGCTTAGGCGCGGCGGACACCCATGGAGGGGCGAATCAGGAGGAAGGCAGCGGAGGGGGAGGGGCATGCGGAGGGGCAGGCGGAGTGGGAGGCGGAGGGGGAGGCGGAGGGGGAGGGGGAGGGGGAGGCGGAGGGGGAGGGGGAGTGGATCGGTGCTCCGTGTGCGGAGTGACGGCGCACGAGGAGTGCGTGGGCGCGGCGAGCCGCGACTGCAAGCGCGTGGCGATGACGGGGCGCAGCGTGGCGCACCAGTGGGTGGAGGCGAGTCAGATCAAGATTGAAGAGGACCGGCACGATGAGGACCTCGTGTGCATGCTGTGCGATGAAGAGGTTGGTGCTTGGGAAGGTCCATTCAGGGAAATATAGCTGGTTTTTAGAGAGTATTGAGATTGAGTGGGTGCGTGGATCAAGATCGAGGAGAACGGCACGACGAGAACCTCGTCGGTATGCTGTGCGACAAGGAGGCGCGTGGGGTGCTTGCATGGGGGGGGAGCGCGTTTGAGAATGGGGCGGGTGACTTCTCAGGCCCCTCAGAAGACGTTGGTGCAGGGGGCGAGTGTGTGGTGTGGGTGTGGGTGGTAGTAACAGGACTCTCTTCCGCTTCTCCATTTCCCCCACACTCGCCGCGCCCTCCCACCAGGTGAAGTCCGTGTTCAGAACGGCAAGCCCGTGTGGCGCTGTGTGTGGTGTTAGCCTCCCGTCATCCTTTCCCTCCTCCCTAACTCACCCTCCACCCCCATCCCCACCCCCACCCCCACCCCCACCCCCACCCCCACGCCCACTCCCACCCCCCCACCCCACCAGGTGAAGTCTGTGTTCAGCACGGGCAAGCCTGTGTGGCGCTACGTGTGGTGCAAGCCTCCCATCATCCTTTGCCCCCCCCCAAAACCACCCTCCACCTCCATCCCCATCCCCATCCCCATCCCCACCCCCACCCCCACCCCCACCCCACCCCACCAGGTGAAGTCTGTGTTCAGCACGGGCAAGCCCGTGTGGCGCTGTGTGTGGTGTCAGCGGCTAGTCCACGTGTTCTGCCGTCCGGCAGTCATGAAAGCCGGCGAGGACCCCTGCGACTTTGGCGCCCTGCGCCGCTCCATCGTCTCCCCTCTCTGCGTGCGAGAGAGAGGCGCGGTTGGGATCAGCAGCAGCGGCGGCGGCGGTTTCGGTGCTGCTGCCGGTGCTGGTGGTGGTGGTGGTGGGGTAGGGGGAGGAGGAGGAGGGGGGGGATCTGCTTTTGGGTATAGTCCTGCGGCCGCTGCTTCGGGCATGCGGGATTTGATTTCCTCCTGGCGGCAGAACGCGGGGGAGCTTGCGAGTAATGTGAACCGGTCGATCAGGAAACGGGCCAAGAGACACGCGAAGAGAGTGGCCAGTTCTGTTGACTTGCTGAATGGAAACGGGAACGGGGCCGGGCATGGGAACGGGAATGGGAATGGGAATGGGAATGGGAATGGGAATGGAAATGGGAACGCACATGGACATGGGAGTGGCACTGGGGATGGAGGGGTGATGGGTCAGGGTGGGGGAGGAGCAGGAGGGGCGGATTTTCCAGAAGGGGAGGCCATGCTGTTAACGAATGGGCTTATAAGCGGGTTTGATGGGGGTCTTCCGTCTTCACCTAGTGGGTCGTCGGTGGGTGGTGGCGGGGAGTGGGTGAGGGTGAATGGGGGGCGCACGCACAACAACAGCAACAACAACAACAGCAACAGCAACAACAGCAACAATCATAACATGGACGCTAGCAGTACCAGTAGCTCCAGTGCTGCGAGCAGTAATGGTCTTGGTGGTAATGGTAATGGTGGTGGTGGTGCTGCTGCTGCTGCTGGTGCTGCTGGTGCTTCTGGTGGTGGTGCTGCTGCTGGTGCTGCTGGTGGGGTTGGTGTTCGGAATTTAAGTGGGTTTGGTGGGGGGGGGGTGGAGAAGGGAGGAGGAGGGGAGGCTTGTGTGTTGTCCCAAGGGGAGGGTAGTGACGGATCGTGTGAAAGGGAGGGCAGGGAGGGCAGGGAGGGCAGGGGTCTGGACAGGCACCCCGTGGGTGAGAGGGGGGTTGCTGGAGGTAGAAGGGCGTTACAGGTGCAGCAGGAACAGCAGCACAACCGTCAGCAGCGGCAGCAGCAGCAGTTGGTGCAGCAGCAGCAGCAGCTGCAGTACGAGATAGTGAATCTGCCAGCAGACGCGCGGCCGCTGCTGGTGTTTGTGAACAAGCGCAGCGGGGCGCAGCACGGCTCTGCGCTCAAGCGCCGCTTCAGCATGCTTCTCAACCCCATTCAGGTGCGCGCTCAACGGAAGCTCCCAGCATTCTTCATTCGTACTACTGAACCAGATCGTACAGCTTTGCAAGGACTAAGGCCCAAGTACGGGCTCTCTCTCTCTTCGACCACGTGCCCAACTTCAGGGTGCTGGTGTGTGGGGGCTATCTTTGAGGCTTGTCAAAAATAGACTCTCTCTTTCTCTCCTCCCCAACATCCACCTCACCTCAGGTGGTGGAGCTATCCAAGGATCGGGGCCCCGAGTACGGGCTCTCTCTCTTTGACCACGTGCCCAACTTCAGGGTGCTGGTGTGCGGGGGAGACACCTCTTTTCATGCATGCACTGAAATCCCTCCCTTCTGTGGCAGGTGGTGGAGCTATCCAAGGACCGGGGCCCCGAGTACGGGCTCTCTCTCTTTGACCACGTGCCTAATTTCCGGGTGTTGGTGTGTGGGTGCGACGGCACAGTGGGATGGATGCTGGGGGCGATAAAGAAGCGGGGCTACGACATGCCAAGTGACTTATGAGTCAACTCTATAGTCACCTTGTCTCCCCACTCCCCTCACCCTTTTCTCTCCTTCCTCCCATACTCGCACCGCAGGTGGTGGAGCTATCCAAGGACCGGGGTCCCGAGTACGGGCTGTCTCTGTTTGACCACGTGCCCAACTTCCGGGTGCTGGTGTGCGGGGGTGATGGCACGGTGGGGTGGGTGCTGGGCGCGATAGAGAAGCGCGGGTACGACATCCCCCCGCCCGTTGCCGTGCTGCCCATAGGCACCGGGAACGACCTTGCCCGCGTGCTGGGATGGGGAGGCGGGTTCGGCGCTGTGGAGCGGCAGGTGGGTGGGAGAGCGAGAGCGAGAGGGCGTTGGGGTTGGTGTGATGGGGAGTGTCATGGTTGGCGGGTTAGGGAGAGAGGAAGAGACAGGGTGCTCGTGTGCGGAGGTGACGGCACGGTGGGGTGGGTGCTGGGCGCGATAGAGAAGCGCGGGTACGACATCCCGCCGCCCGTTGCCGTGCTGCCCATAGGCACCGGGAACGACCTTGCCCGCGTGTTGGGCTGGGGCGGCGGGTTCGGAGCGGTGGAGCGACAGGTGAGTGAGAGAGAGCGTTGTCGGTGTTTTCTGGTGGAGTGGGGTTTTTCGTTTCAGTAAGGTTAAAAGTCATGTGGGATGGTGATGACGGTGGGGAAAACCGGGAGGACGAAACGAGTTTCTAGGAGTTGGAGGATTCACATGCTGCTGCTTCTTCCCCTGTCCACGTGACTTTTGAGTCAACTCAAAAGGATTTCGAAGATTCACATGCTGCTGTTGCTTCCCCTCTCCACGTGACTTTTGAGTCCATGATGCTGCAGGGTGTTTTTGAGAATTCTCCAGGGTGTTTTTGAGAATTCTCCAGGGTGTTTTTGAGAATTCTCAAAAACACCCTGCGACTCAAAAGGATTTCGAAGATTCACATGCTGCTGCTGCTTCCCCTCTCCACGCTCCCCCCCCCCTCGCCGCTCCCCACTACGCCCTTCCTCCTGCCACCCAATACTGCTACCCTGCAGGGTGGGCTGTTGTCTGTGCTGCTGAACATAGAGAACGCGCCTGTTGCCATTCTGGACCGATGGGCTGTCACCTTCCACCCCGCTGCTGGCTCTGCTGCCGCTGCTGCTGCCCCGGCATCGGTGCCCTTCTCAAGCCTTTGCATCCTGCCACCCAATACCATTCCCACCTTGCAGGGCGGGCTGCTGTCGGTGCTGCTGAACATAGAGAATGCGCCTATTGCCATTCTGGACAGATGGGCTGTCACCTTCCACCCCGCTGCTGGCTCTGCTGCCGCTGACGCTGCTGCCCCCAGCATCACTGCCTCTTCTCAAGCCTTCGCGTCTGCTGCTGCTGCCTCAGCTCACGCTGCTGCTGCTGCGGGGCAGGCAGGGGGGAAGGGGAAGGAGAGGGAGAAAGGGAAGGAGAGGGAGAAGGGGAAGGAGAAGGGGAAGGAGGAGGGGAGGGAGGATTCTCCACAGCCCAAGTATTTGAACAATTATCTGGGTAAGTGAGTTGTTTAGTGGATGTTACTAGCACTTGGTTCGGTGCGTGTCAATTCCTTCCTGATTGTGCCATGGCGCTGGTGTGCTGTTCTAATGGTGTGTTACATCCGTACGTCCCAGTTCTCCATAGAAAGCTTTTCTTCTCCTTATGCCGTTTCTGCACTGCATGTGTGTGCATGTGCGTGCATGTGTGTACGCATGCATGGGTGTGTGCGTGTGCATGCATGCATGTGTGTCTGTGTGCATCCACGTGCATGGGTGTGCAGGTGTGGGGTGCGATGCCAAGGTGGCTCTGGAGATTCATCTCCTAAGGGAGGAGAATCCCGAGATGTTCTACAACCAGGTGAGCGCCCGACATCCCTGCTTCCCTTCCCTCGCATGCCACGCGCAAAAGAAACAAAGGAAGCACCTGCGGTGCATCAAAAGTCATCTCCTAAGGGAGGAGAATCCCGAGATGTTCTACAACCAGGTGCGCACTATCCCTGCTTGCTTCACTCACATGCCATGCGCTTCCTGAGGCGCCGCAAAATCTCGTAAGGCGTTTAATAATAATATTATATATATATATATATATGTATTAAACTGAGGCGCCTCAAAAGTCACCTTGGTTGGATGGAGGGAGGAGAACCCCGAGATGTTCTACAACCAGGTGCGCACCATCCCTGCTTGCTTCACTCACATGCCATGCGCTTCCTGAGGCGCCGCAAAAACCAGGTGCGCGCCATCCCTCCCTGCTTGCTTTTTGAGACGTCTCAAAAACCAGGTGCGCGCCATCCCTCCCTGCTTGCTTCCTCCCTCCCTCACACACCATGCGCTGCAGTTGTGTCAGGCATCCCAACTTCTGAGAATGTGTAGTAGCAGCCGGTGCGTCATCCCAACTTCTCTCATAACTGCGCCGCCTCTGAAGCTCCACTTCCCCCAATCCCCTACCCCATCCCCCACCCCATCCCCCACCCCATCCCCCACCCAATCCCCCACCCCATCCCCCACCCCGTCCCCCACCCCATCCCCCACCCCATCCCCCACCCCGTCCCCCACCCCATCCCCCACCCGCACCCGTCACATCACCCTACTCCTTTTTTCATTGGGGCGCTTGGTTGACCTCTGAACCTCCATCTTACCCCGGCCTCCGCCCCTTCCTTCCCCCCAATCCTCTCCCTCCGCACCCCCGCCCTCCAGTCCCACCACGGAGGACTTTTGAGGCGCCTCAAAGGTCGTCTCAAAAGTTTTGAGGCGCCTCAAAGGTCGTCTCAAAAGTTTTGAGGCGCCTAAGAAATCCAGTCCCTAAACAAGCTTCTGTACACCACGGAGGGCGTACTAACCGACGTATGAATCATCTCACCCCCCCCCCCCCCCCCCCCCTCTCTCTTCCTTCCCCCCATCCTCCCCCTCTCCCCCATCCTCCCCCTCCCCCCACCCCAGTTCCCAAGGTGCTGTATATGCCACGGAGGGCGCAAGGGACTTTGTGGACCGCAGCTTTAAGCCTTCCCACCCCATCTCACCCCATCTCACCCCATCCCACCCCCTCCCCCCACCCCCACCCCCCACCCCCAGTTCCTCAACAAGGTGCTGTATGCCACAGAGGGTGCGAGGGACTTTGTGGACCGCAGCTGCAGCAACCTGCCGTGGCACGTGCGCGTGGAGATTGATGGCCGCGAGGTCGCCATTCCAGAGGTGCGGCGGAGAGCGGTGGGGTGGGGTGGAGCGAGGCAGGGCAGGGTGGGGGGGGGGAGAGGGGGGGGGGTGGTGTTATGTGGTGCAGCATGGTGTCGCAGGAGCTTTGAGCAGCATGCATGGCACGTGGAGATAGACAGGCATGATGTGACCGTGTCAGTGGTGGGGTGGGGTGGGGTGGGGTGGGGTGCAGTGGGGTGGTGTGGTGTGGTGTGTGGTTCGCGTGCACACTGATGTGCACGCACACATGCAAGTTCACGTGGATGGATTGGTGTTCCTGTCCCACGTCTCACCCACCAGTAGTTGGACTGGACGTGCTGTTTCTCAGCATAGGCAGCTAGATGCGGGCGGGGTGGTGCTGAACGTGCTCAACATGCGGAGTGGACCTGTGTTTGGCGCTTAGAGGCGCTTAGAATATATCTGAATATATCTGAATATATCTGAATGTATCTAAATGTATCTGAATGTATCTGAATGTATCTGAATGTATCTGAATGTATCTGAATGTATCTGAATGTATCTGAATGTATCTGAATGTATCTGAATGTATCTGTGTCTGTGTTTGGCAGTATATCTGAATGTACCCCTGTGTCGCTCTTGCATCCTCATGCACACCCGCTGACCCACCAGGAGCTAGAGGGCGTGTTGGTTGGTGCTGATCATAGGCAGCTACATGGGAGAGTGAACCTGTGAAGGGCGCTTGTAACGTGTTTCTTTCTCTGTGTCTCACACATGCGCATATCCATACATCCACCAGGAGTTGGAGGGCGTGTTGGTGCTGAACATAGGCAGCTACATGGGCGGCGTGCACGTGTGGCAGAATGATTTTAACGTGTTTATGTCCCTGTGTCTCACACATCCACACATGGACACATGCACACATGCACACATGCACATATCCCTTGACCCACCAGGAGTTGGAGGGCGTGTTGGTGCTGAACATAGGCAGCTACATGGGCGGAGTGGACCTGTGGCAGAACGAGGAGGAGCTGGATGACGGCCTGGCACCGCAGCTCATGCACTCTTTCACATGCACATGCACATGCACGTATCCCCTCGCCCGCACGCCAGGAACTGGAAGGAGTGTTGGTGCTGAACATCGGCAGCTACATGGGAGGCGTGGACCTGTGGCAGAACGAGGAGGAGCTGGATGACGGCCTGGCACCGCAGCTCATGCACGACCGCCAGGTGGAGGTGGTGGGCATCTGCGGCGCCTGGCACCTGGGCAAGCTGCAGGTGAGGGCAAGCTGTAGTTGGGCTGGTATGGACTAGATGCTTGCATGTTAGAGGCGCCTTGAGGAGCAGAGCAGCTCAGCTCATGCACGACCGGCAGGTGGAGGTGGTGGGCATCTGCGGCGCCTGGCACCTGGGCAAGCTGCAGGTGAGGACAGGATGTTGGTGCTGTTTCGTATGCTTCTGGGCATGTGAGTGGTGCCTCAAGAAGCAGCTCATGCACGACCGCCAGGTGGAGGTGGTGGGCATCTGTGGCGCATGGCACCTGGGCCAGCTGCAGGTGGGTGTGAGATGTAGGTGGGTAGGGACGTGTTGTGGGCATGTTGGGTAGAGGCGCCTCAAGGAGCAACTCATGCACGACCGGCAGGTGGAGGTGGTGGGCATCTGCGGCGCATGGCACCTGGGCAAGCTGAAGGTGAGGCGGGATGTTGTAGGGACAAGATGCGGGCATGTTAGAAGCAGCTGATACACGACCAGCAGGTGGTGGGTGGGTGGGCATCTGCTGCGCGTGGCACCTGGGCAAGCTGCAGGTGTGTTTTGAGGCGCCTTGGAAAGTGCCTTTTGACCTAAACTGTTCATGTTGGGGACATGTTGGGGACATGTTGGGGACATGTTGGGGACATGTTGGGGACATGTTGGGGACATGTTGGGGACATGTTGGGGGACATGTTTGGGGACATGTTGGGGACATGTTGGGGACATGTTGGGGACATGTTGGGGGACATGTTGGGGACATGTTGGGGACATGTTGGGGACATGTTGGGGACATGTTGGGGACATGTTGGGGACATGTTGGGGACATGTTGGGGACATGTTGGGGACATGTTGGGGACATGTTGGGGACATGTTGGGGACCTGGTTGGGGACATGTTGGGGACATGTTGGGGACATGTTGGGGACATGTTGGGACATGTTGGGGACATGTTGGGGACATGTTGGGGACATGTTTAGGTTGGACATGTTGGGGACATGTTGGGGACATGTTGGGGGACATGTTGGGGACATGTTGGGGACATGTTGGGGACATGTTGGGGACATGTTGGGGACATGTTGGGGACATGTTGGGGACATGTTGGGGACATGTTGGGGACTGTTGGGGACATGTTGGGGACATGTTGGGGACATGGTTTGGGGACATGTTGGGGACATGTTGGGGACATGTTGGGGACATGTTGGGGACATGTTGGGGACATGTTGGGGACATGTTGGGGACATGTGTGGGGACATGTTGGGGACATGTTGGGGACATGTTGGGGACATGTTGGGGACATGTTGGGGACATGTTGGGGACATGTTGGGGCCATGTTGGGGACATGTTGGGGACATGTTGGGGACATGTTGGGGACATGTTGGGGACATGTTGGGGACATGTTGGGGACATGTTGGGGACATGTTGGGGACATGTTGGGGACATGTTGGGGACATGTTGGGGACATGTTGGGGACATGTTGGGGACATGTTGGGGACATGTTGGGGACATGTTGGGGGACATGTTGGGGACATGTTTGGGGACATGTTGGGGGACATGTTGGGGACATGTTGGGGACATGTTGGGGACATGTTGGGGACATGTTGGGGGACTGTTGGGGACATGTTGGGGACATGTTGGGGACATGTTGGGGACATGTTGGGGACATGTTGGGGACATGTTGGGGACATGTTGGGGACATGTTGGGGACAATGTTGGGGACAATGTTGGGGACATGTTGGGGACATGTTGGGGACATGTTGTGGATGGGGACATGTTGGGGACATGTTGGGGACATGTTGGGGACATGTTGGGGACATGGTGGGGACATGTTGGGGACATGTTGGGGACATGTTGGGGACATGTTGGGAGGACATGTTTGGGGACATGTTGGGGACATGTTGGGGACATGTTGGGGACATGTTGGGGACATGTTGGGGACATGTTGGGGACATGTTGGGACATGTTGGGGACATGTTTGGGGACATGTTGGGGACATGTTGGGGACATGTTGGGGACATGTTGGGGACATGTTGGGGACATGTTGGGGACATGTTGGGGGACATGTTGGGGACATGTTGGGGACATGTTGGGGACATGTTGGGGACATGTTGGGGACATGTTGGGGACATGTTGGGGACATGTTGGGGACATGTGGGGACATGTTGGGGACATGTTGGGGACATGTTGGGGACATGTTGGGGGACATGTTGGGGACATGTTGGGGACATGTTGGGGACATGTTGGGGACATGTTGGGGACATGTTGGGGACATGTTTGGGGACATGTTGGGGACATGTTGGGGACATGTTAGGGGACATGTTGGGGACATGTTGGGGACATGTTGGGAGACATGTTGGGGACATGTTGGGGACATGTTGGGGACATGTTGGGGGACATGTTGGGGACATGTTGGGGACATGTTGGGGACATGTTGGGGACATGTTGGGGACATGTTGGGGACATGTTGGGGACATGTTGGGGACATGTTGGGGGACATGTTTGGGGACATGTTGGGGACATGTTGGGGACATGTTGGGGACATGTTGGGGACATGTTGGGGACATGTTGGGGACATGTTGGGGACATGGTTGGGGACATGTTTGGTGACATGTTTGGGGACATGTTGGGGACATGTTGGGGACATGTTGGGGACATGTTGGGGGACATGTTTGGGGACATGTTGGGGACATGTTGGGGACATGTTGGGGACATGTTGGGGACATGTTGGGGACATGTTGGGGACATGTTGGGGACATGTTGGGGACATGTTGGGGACATGTTGGGGACATGTTGGGGACATGTTGGGGACATGTTGGGGACATGTTGGGGACATGTTGGGGACATGTTGGGGACATGTTGGGGACATGTTGGGGACATGTTGGGGACATGTTGGGGACATGTTGGGGACATGTTGGGGACATGTTGGGGACATGTTGGGGACATGTTGGGGACATGTTGGGGACATGTTGGGGACATGTTGGGGACATGTTGGGGACATGTTGGGGACATGTTGGGGACATGTTGGGGACATGTTGGGGACATGTTGGGGACATGTTGGGGACATGTTGGGGACATGTTGGGGACATGTTGGGGACATGTTGGGGACATGTTGGGGACATGTTGGGGACATGTTGGGGACATGTTGGGGACATGTTGGGGACATGTTGGGGACATGTTGGGGACATGTTGGGGACATGTTGGGGACATGTTGGGGACATGTTGGGGACATGTTGGGGACATGTTGGGGACATGTTGGGGACATGTTGGGGACATGTTGGGGACATGTTGGGGACATGTTGGGGACATGTTGGGGGACATGTTGGGGACATGTTGGGGACATGTTGGGGACATGTTGGGGACATGTTGGGGACATGTTGGGGACATGTTGGGGACATGTTGGGGACATGTTGGGGACATGTTGGGACATGTGGGGACATGTTGGGGACATGTTGGGGACATGTTGGGGACATGTTGGGGACATGTTGGGGACATGTTGGGGACATGTTGGGGACATGTTGGGGACATGTTGGGGACATGTTGGGGACATGTTGGGGACATGTTGGGGACATGTTGGGGACATGTTGGGGACATGTTGGGGACATTGTTGGGGACATGTTGGGGACATGTTGGGGACATGTTGGGGACATGTTGGGGACATGTTGGGGACATGTTGGGGACATGTTGGGGACATGTTGGGGACATGTTGGGGACATGTTGGGGACATGTTGGGGACATGTTGGGGACATGTTGGGGACATGTTGGGGACATGTTGGGGACATGTTGGGGACATGTTGGGGACATGTTGGGGACATGTTGGGGACATGTTGGGGACATGTTGGGGACATGTTGGGGACATGTTGGGGACATGTTGGGGACATGTTGGGGACATGTTGGGGACATGTTGGGGACATGTTGGGGACATGTTGGGGACATGTTGGGGACATGTTGGGGACATGTTGGGGACATGTTGGGGACATGTTGGGGACATGTTGGGGACATGTTGGGGACATGTTGGGGACATGTTGGGGACATGTTGGGGACATGTTGGGGACATGTTGGGGACATGTTGGGGACATGTTGGGGACATGTTGGGGACATGTTGGGGACATGTTGGGGACATGTTGGGGACATGTTGGGGACATGTTGGGGACATGTTGGGGACATGTTGGGGACATGTTGGGGACATGTTGGGGACATGTTGGGGACATGTTGGGGACATGTTGGGGACATGTTGGGGACATGTTGGGGACATGTTGGGGACATGTTGGGGACATGTTGGGGACATGTTGGGGACATGTTGGGGACATGTTGGGGACATGTTGGGGACATGTTGGGGACATGTTGGGGACATGTTGGGGACATGTTGGGGACATGTTGGGGACATGTTGGGGACATGTTGGGGACATGTTGGGGACATGTTGGGGACATGTTGGGGACATGTTGGGGACATGTTGGGGACATGTTGGGGACATGTTGGGGACATGTTGGGGACATGTTGGGGACATGTTGGGGACATGTTGGGGACATGTTGGGGACATGTTGGGGACATGTTGGGGACATGTTGGGGACATGTTGGGGACATGTTGGGGACATGTTGGGGACATGTTGGGGACATGTTGGGGACATGTTGGGGACATGTTGGGGACATGTTGGGGACATGTTGGGGACATGTTGGGGACATGTTGGGGACATGTTGGGGACATGTTGGGGACATGGGGACATGTTGGGGACATGTTGGGGACATGTTGGGGACATGTTGGGGACATGTTGGGGACATGTTGGGGACATGTTGGGGACATGTTGGGGACATGTTGGGGAACATGTTGGGGACACTGTTGGGGACATGTTGGGGACATGTTGGGGACCATGTTGGGGGACATGTTGGGGACATGTTGGGGACATGTTGGGGACAGTTGGGGACATGTTGGGGACATGTGGGGACATGTTGGGGACATGTTGGGGACATTGTGGGGACATGTTGGGGACATTCAAATGTTGGGGACATGTTGGGGACATGTTGGGGACATGTTGGGGAACATGTTGGGGACATGTTGGGGACATGGTTGGGGACATGTTGGGGACATGTTGGGGACATGTTGGGGACATGTTGGGGACATGTTGGGGAATGTTGGGGAACATGTTGGGGCACATGTTGGGGACATGTTGGGGACATGTTGGGGACATGTTGGGGACATGTTGGGGACATGTTGGGGACATGTTGGGGACATGTTGGCGGACATGTTGGGGAATGTTGGGGACATGTTGGGGACATGTTGGGACATGTTGGGGACATGTTGGGGACATGTTGGGGACATGTTGGGGACATGTTGGGGACATGTTGGGGACATGTTGGGGACATGTTGAATGGAGGCGCCGTAGGAAGCGGCTCATGCCGTTGGTGGGCTTGTGGAGGGCCAGTTGGTGTGAATCCCACACATGAGGCGCCTCAAAACACATCCCATCCCCCCTCCTCCTCCCATTCCCCTTTCACCAGGTCGGCTTGTCGCGCGCCATTCGCCTGGGCCAAGGGCGCTCGGTGCGAATACACACGTCCGTGACCTTCCCCGTGCAGATTGACGGAGAGCCATGGCTGCAGGCGCCTGCCACCATCCACATCGCGCACCACTCCCAGGTACCTCTTCGGTTTCCATGCTCGTGCTCGCCCTTGCACGCCCGTGCTCGGCCATGCTTGGCCATGCTTGGCCAGCGTTGCCCATCCCTAGACTCACATTCATCGAGTATTTTAAGACGTGTGACTTTTGGGCTGACTCCACTCTCCCTGTTCCTCCCGCCCTCCAATTTTTCTCCCTAACCTCCCTTCCCTCCCTGCGCTCCCTGCCCTCTGTCCCCTTCTCTTCACCCCCTCCAGGCGTTCATGCTGAGGAGGATGGAGGGGGAGCCGGTGGGGCATGCAGCAGCAGTGCGGGTCTTTTGAATCGACTCAAAAGCCATCTTACCTACCTCCCTCCCTGCCCCCTCCATCCCTCCCCCCATTCCCCCTCCAGGCATTCATGATGAGGAGGACGGAGGGGGAGCCGGTGGGGCATGCAGCAGCGGTGTTGAGCGAGGCAGTGGATGCACTCACAGCCAGGGGCGTCATCACAGCCGCTCAGAAGCGCTTATTCTGGGCTTCACTCATATCTCTCTGCTCCTCCCTCCCACCTTTCCCTCCTTCCCTCCTTCCCTCCTCTCCCTCCTTCCTTCCTCTCCCTCCTCCCCTCTCTCTCCCCCTCCCCCCTCCCTCCCCTGCTCCAGGCGTTCATGCTGAGGAGGACGGAGGGGGAGCCGGTGGGGCATGCAGCAGCGGTGTTGAGCGAGGCAGTGGATGCACTCACAGCCAGGGGCGTCATCACCGCCGCTCAGAAGCGAGCGCTGCTGCAGGAGGTGGCGCTGCGACTGCAGTGATGCTGATGCTTCTGCGCTCTGCTGTGCGGTGCTGTGCTCTGCTGGGCGTTGCTGTGCTGTACTGTGCGCCGTGCGTGCGTCACATGTGCTTGATAGTGCTTCGTTTTTCTTTTGGATTGTGTAGGGGATCATGATGATAGGGCCTACCTAATGGCCTCCTCTATTCATTCGTTTGTCCCCTGTTCCCTCGTACTGCCTAGGGTAGTGTAAAGCCAGTGCAAAAGGGAGCTCTGCTGCCGGGTGTTGCTGTGTGACTGTTGTACCGTAGCTACGTCCACAGGAAGCTTGCTTGCTTCGCACTGACAGCTGCTGCTGCAGATCACGTGCTAGTAGGTTGGATACTTCGTAATGTAGAGGGTAAAACACCCTGCTTGAATGTCGCTGCTGCCATGCAGCTGATGGCTGCCTAGTGCCCTTCTAGAGTGCATTCTGTCAAGGGGTAGATCCAGGATAGGTGACTAGAACGGGCAAGCTTTGGAAGCTCAAGGGTGAGATTTTACAGCACATGGTAAATCGTGCCTGGTGGAATAGCAAGTGATACTGTATGTAATGTACTTATAGCAACTTGGGTGGGGAAGCCTACACATACAGGTACAGTATGTTGCAAGGTTGCTGTGCTTTCTAACTACCAACTCTGCTAATCACAAGCAGGCTTCTTCACAGGTTGCAGCACTAAACTTAAATCTAACGCCCAGTGCTCATTCCCGCTCTCTTCTTCTTTAGCTACCGGTAATGTGATTACTTTGGTAATTTCGCAATATATACCATGCAATGGTACACCCTTACTCATGGTGCATCATAAATGGGTGCGATGCGATGGGATGCCTAGATGATTGAGAACTGTTGCCTGAAGCCTAATGCTGTGATTTTGATCAGCAGCACGCAGTCGTAACGCAGGAGACGAGAGTCAACAGAAGTCAACGGCGTCAACGGGGTGCACGTGGTCAACTGGGGTCCACAGGGACTTGAGGGACGGGCTGAGGGGTTCCCGCAGCAATGGGCGAATTGGCTGACTGCACTGCAGCGTGCATTATAGCGAGATCACCCATAGCTGCTAAAGGGGACAAGCGAGGATCTAGAGAAACAGGCGGCGGGGATGCATTGGCAGAGGTGGCATCAGCAGGGGTGGCGTCAGCTGGTGTGGTGTGTGTGGCTCGTGCTGCTGCTGCAGCGGCTGCAAAGAGAGAGAGCTCTTGCTGGATACCCAGGAGTGAGTGGAAGGAGGGGGCGGGGCACCCTGCTGGGTGCGATGCTCCTGGCGGTAGATCAAGTGACACCTGTGGGAAGGGAGGGGAGGGAGGGGATGAGAAGAGAGTGAGGCTATTTTGAGGCCCCTCTAAAAAGGGAGGGGGTGGGGCATCCTGCTGGGTGTGATGCTCCTGACGGTAAATCCAAGGTCACCTGTGAGTGTGTTGTGCAAGGAGGGGAGGGGGGGGGAGAGAAGGGAGTGGGGAGAGAGAGGAGGTGGGAAGGTTGAGGGAATGGAGAGTGGGAGGATGGAATGGCAACGATAGAGAGGAAGAGAGTGAGCCCGTGCAACAATGGGGTGGGCACAGGCACTTATGAGGCGCCTCAAAACCCACTTCAATGGAGAGGAAGAGAGTGAGCCCGTGCAACAATGGGGTGGGCACAGGCACTTATGAGGCGCCTCAAAACCCACTTCAATGGAGAGGAAGAGAGTGAGCCCGTGCAACAATGGGGTGGGCACAGGCACTTATGAGGCGCCTCAAAACCCACTTCAATGGAGAGGAAGAGAGTGAGCCCGTGCAACAATGGGGTGGGCACAGGCACTTATGAGGCGCCTCAAAACCCACTTCAATGGAGAGGAAGAGAGTGAGCCCGTGCAACAATGGGGTGGGCACAGGCACTTATGAGGCGCCTCAAAACCCACTTCAATGGAGAGGAAGAGAGTGAGTCCGTGCAACAATGGGGTGGGCACAGGCACTTATGAGGCGCCTCAAAACCCACTTCAATGGAGAGGAAGAGAGTGAGCCCGTGCAACAACAGCAACTGGAGAGTGAATTTCGAGTGCATTCGAAGCACCTATGCCCCCCACTGGAGTGGATCCTGGGTCTAGTGAAACAAATGAAAGCGTGGGCATGCTATTGTAACAGTGTTAACAACAGCTAGCCCATGCAAGGAGAGGCGTCAGAAAGACGCTGCTCATGGCGTATCCGAAGCTGCCGTCTCCACTGGTGTGTGGGCCTCTCCTGACCTCCACTGTATCCCCACCTCTTCGTTTCTGGCTATAGTAGAGCATACATGGGAAAGAGGTGCTTGCTATAGTGCCCATGCAAGGAGAGGCGACAGCAAGGTATTGATCACAGTGTATCCAAAACGGCCGTCCCCACTGGCGTGCGGGCCTCTCCTGACCTCCACTGGAGAGATGTCTGGCTATAGTAGAGCATACATGGGGAAGAGGTGCTTGCTATAGTGCCCATGCAAGGAGAGGCGACAGAAAGACGGTTCTTACGGTGTATCCAAAGCGGCCGTCCCCACTGGCATGTGGGCCTCTCCTGACCTCCACTGTTCCGCCCACACACACCACTCGCCACACCATCTGATGCCCACACAGCAGGCAGGCATGACAAATGTGGCAAGTAGAAGGAATCACGGAAAACAATGGAAGGAGGAGCAGGGAGAGAAGGGAGGGGAGGAAGAGCAAGGAAAGCAGAGGAGAAGAGGATGGAGCAGGTGAGGTGCGGTGGGGTATGGAGCCCTTGACTCGTTTTAAAGCAGAAGAGCGAGCCTTAGTCTGCAGCTACAGAGTTGATGGTAGTAAGGCCTCAGCAGCCCACTACAGGCCGCCATCAACTCAGAGCACACTGACGAGCCTAAGCAGGCATGCAGAGCAGAGTCTGGCGAGTGTTAGGCTCCACAACCATGCATGGATAAGCGAGTGCCTTGCGGTGAGAAAGAGATGTGCGGGGAGGTTGATTTTGAGAATTGCCCGAATAAACCTCAACAAAAGGGTTACGTGGATAACGCGAGTGCGTTGTGTGGTGAGAAAGAGATGCGTGAGAAGGGTCTCCTGGGCGACCATGTGGCTCTTGAGAGAGCTAGCTAGGTGATGATGAGTAGGCGACTCACGAGGTTGCGTGGCGTGAAGGAGAAGGATATGGAGAGAGTGTGCCAAAGGACCTTTTGAGTCGACTCAAAACTCACCTGGGTTGGTTGAGGTGAGGTGAGGGTTAGGCGACTCACAAGGTTGCGTGGCGTGTAGGAGAAGGAGATGGAGAGGGTGCCCACAGCGCCATCCTCAAACTTGCTGCTCCATGCCATGCCATGCCATGCCAAGCCATGCCACGCCATTCCACATCATGTCATAACAGTAGTCAAGGGGAGGGAGGTGGGGGGGTGTTGTCTGTGCGACGTTTCTACTGGGGAGAATTCTCAAAAGTGACTTGTCTCCAACCTAGTAGAAGACTTGTGTGGAGAGGAGACGATGTTGATGTATGTATGAGACGTCTCAGAAGTGGACCAATTTACTAGACCAAGTGGACCAATTCAGTGTTTGCGGAGGACAGAATCTCTGAGCTGGGCGTCCGCGTCCCAACTCTGCAGCTGGAGGACAGGATGTTTGAGTTGATTGAGCCGGTTTTTGAGTCGACTCAAAGTTGGCCGTCCCAACTCTGTAACCAGACGACAGGATGTTTGAGTTGATTTAGAAATCACCTCTGGTTAGTGGGGGGGGGGCTGTGCGGTTTTCTAACAGGAAGCTGCTATTGAGAGTTCTTGACAGAACAGCACGGTTTTGAACTCTCTTTTGCCACTTCTCATTAGAAGCAGCAGGGACAGCACATCAAAGAAGCAGCAGGGACAGCACATCAAAGCAGCGGCAGCGGCAGGAGCAGCAGAAGCACCGGCGGCGGCCGCCGCAGAATGGGGGCTCACAGCGTAGCAGCGAAGTTATCCGGGGGAGGTACATCTGCTATTTGGTGCGAACCGAATGCTGCCACTGATGATACTTTGCGCCCAGTCATCTGGCAAGGGGACGAGAAGGGAGAGAGTGGGGAATTGATAGAGATAGAGGAGAGGCAAGGGGAGTGATGGATCAAGGGGGAGTGAGTGGGAAGGAGTGGGTTGGGAGGGAGTGGGTTGGGGGGGACAGAAGGATTGAGACGAATGAGTTCAAGCGGATTTGAGTCCTAAATCTCAAACACATCAGTGAGACTCCGAGGTGCAAGTTGAGGTGCTTCATTCTTGAAAATCTCGATAATTCTAAAAGAGAGTTCCATTGGACACAAGAACCACGTGCTTCAGAAGTTCAATGGGACGTGGGCGGGTGGAACTTACGTGACACATTGCTGCCACGTAATGCACGCCACAGTCAGTAATGAACGCGCCCTGGTGTCGGCTCGTACGCATGCATGTACAAAGAGAAAGGGGCACAACACAACGCAACAGCACAAACCGGAGATGAATCGCCAACAACACGAGCAGGGAAGAACAAAAAAAAGGAGGTGCAGTAAGGAATGGCATCCCTAAATCCTGTCCAGACACAAGCATGGCACAAGCTCCGGTCAGTCAGCTCAGCTGAAAGGTAGAAACCCTAACCCCCATGCCGGCTGACTGACTAACGGCACTCATTGCTTGCAACAGTGGAGGAGTCATGTCATGTCATGTCATGTCATGTCACTCCTGTTGCCAACAAATGCATGGCTCAACGCGAGACACCACGGACTGGTTCAGTTCAGTTCAGTTCAGTTCAGTTCAGTTCAGTTCAGTTCAGTTCAGAGGGAGAGCTTGTTCTCGGTTCAAAAGTCACCTCTATTGAGGGTGTTCACGTTGGCATATAAAGTGCATGATGGGTCAACGCGAACTCATGATCGCGTTCCGAGACGTCTCACAACTCAACGAGGCAGCAGCGCATGGCTCACCGTGAAGTCAGGCTCGCGGCGCCACTGAGTCGTGTTTTGAGTCGGCTCAAAACACGGCGCCACTGACTGGGGAGGGGAAGTCCTTGTTGGTCAGGGTGAGCGGTGAATGCACCTCGGTGCAGCTTGCATGCATGAATGTACGCGCGCCAAGGGGCACAGCACAACACAATAACACAGTCAGCCGCGTGGCTCACCGTGAAGTCGGGATCGCGGCGCCACTGACTGGGAAAGTACTTGTTGGCAGGGGTGAGCGAGGTCTCCGCCACCACCTGCACTGCCAGCATGGCGCCCAGATGTGACACGACCTCACGTGCCTGTGGGGATGGGGGGGTGGGGTGTAAGGTTGAGGTGTGGCACAGCTGAACAGGGCAAGGGGTGAGCGAGATCTCCGCCACCACCTGCACTGCCAGCATCGCTCCCAGATGAGACACTATTTCATGGGCCTGTGGGAATGGGGGTGGGGTGTGGGGTTGGGGTGTGCGGATGGGGTGTTCTCTGGTAAACGCATGGTCAACGGGTGGTAAACTTCTGGTCAGCAGCTGGTACACACCTGGTCAACGGCTGGTACACACCTGGTCAACGGCTGGTACACACCTGGTCAACGGCTGGTACACACCTGGTCAACGCTGGTACACACCTGGTCAACGGCTGGTACACACCTGGTCAACGCCGGTACACACCTGGTCAACGGCTGGTACACACCTGGTCAACGGCTGGTACACACCTGGTCAACGCTGGTACACACCTGGTCAACGGCTGGTACACACTTGGTCAACGCTGGTACACACCTGGTCAACTCTGGTACACACCTGGTCAACGGCTGGTACACACCTGGTCAACTCTGGTACACACCTGGTCAACGCTGGTACACACCTGGTCAACTCTGGTACACACCTGGTCAACGCTGGTACACAACACACCTGGTCAAATGCCGGTTCGAGGCGAAAGTTCTCCCCAACGGCCCACAGAGGTGCTTGGTGCGATGAGGAGGAGGAAGAGGAGGAGGAGGAGGAGGAGGCAGAGGAGAGAGGGGCCAAGAGGCGTGATGCCTCAGCATGTAGGGCGAGGGCCTGGGGGTAGTCTGGGTGGTGGGTGATGCCGTGGTGAGAGAGAGGGGTGCGGGGGTTGAGGAAGGGAGGTGGGGTGGAGGGGGAGGGGAGGTTTGGGGCCAGAGAGAGTGAGAGCGGGAAGGAGGGGCGGGAGGAATGTGATGAGTTTTGAGTCGACTCAGGGGAGGGAGGTGCTGAGACCAATGGTTTTTATGTTTGTGAGAGAATGGAAGAGAACAGGGGTGACAGGGGGAGAGTGGGACTGATATGAAGGAAGAGGGAGTATTTATCTGAATAAGAAGCTACATGGGCATATGGGCATGACGATTGACAGGTGTGTCTTTGATACTGTGTGCTGTGTAACTATGTAACTGTGTAACTGTGGTACTGTGTGACTGTGGTACTGTGTGACTGTGTAACTGTGCGTGTATCCACACGTGTGTGTGTGCCAGCTTGCTTGTTGAGGGAGTTTCACCTGCCGCTATGGGCTTTTCTGGAAGGGGTTGCAAATGAGGGAGAATGGGAGAATGGGAGAACGAAAGGGAGAGGGAAGGAAAGGGAGGCGGGCGGACGGGATGGAAAGGAGAAAGGGAGGAGACGAGGAGGTTAGGAAGCAGAGGAGAGAATCACGTCCTGCGTGGGAGAAGGGCAGGTGGAAGGAAGGAAAACGTGAGCTGCAGAGAGCTGCAGAGAGCTGCAGAGCATGCGGATTACAACGGGCCAGATCTATCAGTCAGTGGTGGTAGAGGGAGGGAGGGAGGGAGGGAGGGAGGGAGGGAGGGAGGGAGGGAGGGAGGGAGGGAGGGAGGGAGGGGGGAGGGAGGGAGGGAGGGAGGGAGGGAGGGGGGGAGGGAGGGAGGGAGGGAGGGAGGGAGGGAGGGAGGGAGGGAGGGAGGGAGGGAGGGAGGGAGGGAGGGAGGGAGGGAGGGAGGGAGGGAGGGAGGGAGGGGGGGAGGGAGGGAGGGAGGGAGGGAGCGAAGCGAGGGGAGAGTTACCTTGCATGACGTGCTTTCCCGCCTTCAAGAAACGCAGCACCAGCTCTGGCTGGTAGGGAGAGGTTATGGCAGGACGGGAAGTGTGAGGAAGGAGGAGGAGGAGGAGAAATTAGGAGAGGTTAGGAGAACAGAGGAGGAGAGCAGAGGAGGAACACAATGCATAGACATATTAGTAACTCTGTTTCCAATTCATTCTTTCCTGGCTGTGCTTCTAGCCACTCCGTCCTGCTACACATGGCCCTTCTCTCCCCTTGACCCTGCCAGATCAGTCACTTGGAAGGTAGGTGGCATAGCACACGCACAGACACACTGATTGGCTATGAGTCGAGGTAGCTTGACCCACGAGGACTATAACGACTTTGGAGTATAACGAACCTAGATAATAACGAACCTAGACAATAACGAACCTGGACTTGCACTGGCAGCACCAGCACACACGCCTCAACCTCCTCGCTCCGCTCAATGCGCGCCAAGCCCTCCTCTCCCCACACTGCCTCCACCGCCGCCGCATTTCCCGCCGCCACCCACGCTGCCGCTAGCGCTTCCGCCGAGGTCTGAGAGCGGCTCCAGATGAATCGAAGCGCGATCTCGGCCTTGATGTCCTTCAGTATTGGCAGATACGCGTCGCGCGCGAAGATTCCCGCGCCTAGCAGCGCGATCCGCACGGGCTGTGGTGGAGGATTCGACGCCATTGCTGGGAGGGGCAGATGACTTGGAATGTGGGGTGATGGTCATGGTGGAAGTGGGAGAGAACGGCGATTTGTACGCGTTACAACCGAATGTCGAAATCGCTGAAGTGCAGTTAAGTATTTTTAAACGGATAGGAGTTCACTTAGCAGAAGCATGTACAGAGTTTGTATTCAGGTGAACACAGCCAAATGATATACATAACAGTAATTGTGTATCCAACTTCACTACCATTGTATATTTCTTTTACCAAAGCCTCAACTTTCAGTTGCGTACATTAGGGACTGCTGAAATGGTAACGAGTCTTATATATATACGAGTCATTAAGTAACCAGTCTTACATATACGGGGAATTTATGCATACAGAAAAGCGACCGGTCACAGGTACTATGGTACCAGTCATTTAGGCTATTATTACCCACCCGTTGTCATGTACACAACCTTAGCAGCCAACATGCACCTCCCGAGCTAACAGGCAAAAAGGAGTGGATGGACCGCAGAAGCGGCGCCAGAGGAGGCAGCAGAGGAAAGACACAGAAACAACCAAGAGCTCAGTTCCACTTGGGAAAAAAGAGAAGCAGGTGTTCCCTTGAACAACCAGGAGCACAGCTCAGATCAGCTCCATTCAGATTCAAGAAGCCTTGTGCTGTGCAGTGCAAAGGGAAGATTATCGATGCAGACTTATTGCTTCGAGCTTGCAAGCCTCCGATAGTCATGAATCGGGTACAAGCTCGGATGCAGACCAAGGAAGAGCCGGAACAGGAACTGCCTGAAGTCAGTCATTTGCGCCGGGGGACTCAGATAGCAACAACCACCACCACCACCACCATCATCATCACCACTTCCTCCTCTGATGTGGCTCAACCCATGACGCAGACGGGCATCGCGCCGCCACCATTTGCCGGACACACTCAAAAGTCACCCCTACGCTGGCGCACGCTTCTGCTGCACGCGCCGCATCGTCCTCCCGCTCCTGCGCCGCTGCAGCCGCAGCATCCCTCGCGCTCACCAACCGGGGAAGAATCCGCAGCCTCAGTCCCATGCACTTTCAATTCCGCGTCGTGCGCTCCCGTCGGCCGCTCGAGCATCTCGCTTGAGCCTCGTTTGCGTGCGGGGAGACTGCTCCCTGCAGCATGCTGCTCCTGCTGCTCGTCTTGCACAGAATCTGCTTCAGTCTCCTGCTTCTGCTTCTGCTCCTGCTGCTTGCGCTGCTCCTCCTCCTCCTGCTGAACATCAGCTTGTTGTCGTGCTGTCACGTGTCCCTCCTCCAGGCTACCAGGAACGGGAGACGGCACGACGATCAACGACGGGGGCTCCGTCTCTGTCTCCGTCTCCGTCTCCGTCTCTGTCTCCGTCTGCACTGTCCCCTGATCATTTTCATCCGACCCAGGCAAAGAACCGCCGTCAACGTCACCGTCACCACCGCCACTCGACGCTGTCTCGCATTCAGCAGCAAACGAGTCAATCTTTCCGGCGTTCCCACTGCCGCAATTGCCGGCATCCGTCGTCACAGCACTGCTCCCGCTCCTGCTCTCCCGAATATCGTCGCCCCGCACTCTACACATAGACGATTCTGAGGGCTCCGCGCGCTCCGCCGATCCCGCCGCCGCCTCCGCCTCAGCCGCCCCTGCAGGCGCCGCGGCTGGCGCTGGCGCTGGCACTGCTGCCGAATCGTCCGCGGAGACAGGAGTATCTTCCCCCGCAAACCAGCTATCGCCACACTCCGTCTCGCCCCAAATGGCCGGATGGAACGAGTGAAGCGGGTAACCCGCAACAGACGGAGCCGGAGCCTCCCCATCAGAAGGAGAACTGGGACGAGGACTGCTGTTGCTGATTGGCGAGGACGGCGACGATGACGGAGAGGACGACGAAGGACTGGAACACAACCCGCCACGAACACAGTGGCTTTCGGCGAATGAATCGGCGTCGGAAGCGTACGAGAGGAGAGTGGGTGGCAGGAGGGCGCAATCTGCGAGCGTGGGCGCGCAGGGAGGCGCGGAGAATTGCCCGGAGAATTGCGCGGAGAGGGCGGGCGAGGCGACGTGCGCGTCGCAGTGGATGATGCAGCCATGGAGCATTGGACAGTCGATCATCACAACCTCCCCGTCATCTGCGCCTTCCTCAGATTCTTCCCACACGCAACGCGATTGGCGACTTTTGACTGGTGCAAACTCGAGTGCAACGGATTGAAGCGCTTTTTCAGGCAGGAACTCTGCCTGCTCTGTCAATTCGTCCATGCGACTAGGGAAAACTGATGAAAACGCCATGCGGGAGAGAGAGCCCGAATGAGAAGGCAGAATTAGAAGGCAGTCTCAATTGAAGTCAAGGGTTCAATCACAGGCTCGAGGCTCAGAGGATGCACGGCATGACTGATGACTAGAACAATCGAAGATGAGCACTAAATAACTGTCCCCCGCCGGAAGTGAATTTCAAGGGACTAGCGAACTCGAAACATTCGATGCCCTCAACCTCTTCGAGCAAGCAGAACAAGTCGTTGGGTTGGGGGGCATTGAGGGCGAGCAGATGACGGACGAATGCAGGTGCGTGCGCGTGAACAGGCGGGACGGGACAGGACGGGACGGGCCACGGCCCACGAGACGGACATGGACAAGCCAATGGAATAAACTTTGAACCTGGCTTGGTGGCAATGGCAAGGAGCAAGCGGGAGGAAACGGATTTGCCCGAGCTCGACTGGGTTGGACGGACGGATGATTGGGTAGTGGTACAAGGCGGCTCGGGGCAGATTGAAATATTCTGGCTGGGGGGAGAGGGGGGGGGGGGGGGAATATGGGAGATGCTGGCTTTCCAGCTGTGGGTTGAGGTGGTCCTGGATTGGAATTGGGGCAGGGAGTGAAATTTCCACGGGCCGAATCCTTTTCTGGTTTGGTTGAGGAAAATTGTTGGTTCGTTGTTCTGATCGGAAGAAGCAACGCGGAGGTCCGGGTTCCAGTCTAGTTGCCCTGACCACGCAGGGTTGAGTCGAGGTTGCCTCCCCCCCCCCTGCAATGTGAAAAGCAGCAGCATGAGAACAAATTTTCGTATTTCCACAAATCGAAAATGCAGAGTGGTGGTGGGTCGTGTTGCAGTTTATCCTCCATTCTCGCAGTGCTTAGCGGAGAGAGTAATGATGACACACCAAATGTCTTACGATAACTCACGTGTACACTACTCAGAGTCATTTAATTAATTTAGCGCGTGGACCATAATTTCTTTCAGCCAAGTGGCTTTGTGTGCTCGGATGATGACGAGGCGCGGAAGGGCTGGTTCTGTGATCACCTTCCTACGATTGGCTTCTCTAACACGTGTAAGAGGCATCAGTCGGAAGTCGTTGACAACAAAAACCCGGGCACAGAAGATTGTTGTTGTAGGCAATGACCGAAGGGACCAAACAAACTGCGCTTCGCCAGCTGTTGGTGAGAGACCCGTACTCAACGGAGACACACACCCTCATTTTTATAAATGTACATTCCCGGAAGTGTAGAATATCATCGGCAATTGGCTGACTCGGCCGAATACTGCTTTGACTACTGACGAATAAGAGTATGACAACACATGGAAGGGCACGGGTTTTGTGCGTGAGTGATGTGGAATCCAAGCATGGTTCAAATGCCAGGCGATCCATCACTTCCAAGAACCACTCACAAAGCAGCATGTCAAGCAGACTCGAACATGCCACGTCAACTGCATGCTTCACCATTCTGTACTCCTCGAGGTGCTGTGCTGGCATCCCCACCCACCCCATCCCGGTAGGAATTCCAATTTGTGGAGATTGTTCTGAGTGTTGTTCCAAGACTTTTGTCACCCCGTGCGACAGACGGATTGCAGTGCGACCGGCCAAGAAGGCGGTGACTGCTGACACTGGTCCGAAGTTGGGGTTGACGAAACCCACGGCATCAGCAAGGACTGCTGGTGGCAACTAGTAGCTGGCAAGACTCGATGCACCAGTAGCACCAACGAACCAGCCCAACCAACCAGCGAGCTGGCACTGTATTATTCAAAGTAATCCAAGAATAAGCTCAAACTTTCTCATCAACTACTTAAAAAGTGAAATACATGCAGTGGGTAACTCAAGCAATAATCTGGCAATGTCACCAGTAAATTACACACAAGCAGCATGCCAGGTGTATTCACAATATAGCAGCCAAGCAAGCCCATAATAAAAACCATACGTGCAGGCACACAGTACTCTCAAGTAATGCCATCTTTCATAGCACTTTTACCAACCCCTTTTCCCCAAACATACAGCATTGCTGCAGAGAGAACCACATGGGATCCACACAGCTGATGTACCCCAGCGCAAGTTTGAACTGGCCTAACAATCTCCTCCCAATGTATCAAACCCAGGAAGTGTATGAGTCGTTTCAATCCAGCTACACCCTTCCAACCCACCGCACTTCCAAGTCTCCCAGAGTGCCTTCCAAATCATTCAGCAACCCCCTCACGAAGCAGCAATAGCAGGCACCAGCCATGCTCTAAAGTCAGCCTCGTTTCAATTCTCAACGACGTCCGCTCAGCAGCACACACTAGTGCTTAAACCCCTGCCTGATGATAAACTCCTCGTCCTCATCAGTATCCGACTCCCACCCAGCAAACGCCCTCTCCCACTTCTTCCCAGACAGCTGCGCATCAGGAGACCACCGCTGTAGCTGCTTCCTCACAGCAGCTCCCCCCACTGTCATCCTGTGCGCCCCTGCTACTGCTCCATACCTCCCCATTCTGCCCCTTCCATCCCCTTCCTCGTCCTCCTCGCTGGACTCATCCCACTGATGCTGCTGCTGCTGCCGGTGCCGTGCCTGCTGCTGCGCCTGCTGCTGCTGTTGCTGCTGCTGCATCTGGTTCACAGCAGCGGCAGCCGCGCCGCGCATGCGAATCGCCCGCTGCTGCTGCAGAATACCCGAACCCAAACCACCACGAGCAGAACCCACAGGAAGACCCAAGGGATTCACAGCAGGAACAGACCCATAAGGAGAAGCCGGAGAGGAACCAGGAGCCACTGCAAGGGAGGAGGAGGAAGAAGCATCACCGGTGACTGTTGCAAGAGGGACAGAGGTGGGGGCGTGGGGTCGCAGGCGCAGCCAGCGTGTGACAGCACTGGCTGTGATGCGAAGGACACCGGAAGACTCGTAGCCAAAGTACGGCAGTCCCAGGCGACGCAGCAGCGATGCTACTCCTTGGGAGGTCCTGGTGGGGATGGTGGGAGAAGGTGGGGAAAGGGGGGGATATAGATATACACAAGAGAGGGTGAGCCGAAGCAGCAAGTCGTAAAAGCAAACAAAAATCCTTCTCCCCACCTGCCTTTCTCACTTGACAGGTAAGACCCTGCTCATCCTCTCCCCCTCCCTTCTCTGCTTTGAAATGTCTGTATGTACCTGGAGGCTAACTGGAGTGTGTGTGTGCCCTTGCGCTTGAGAGGGCTAACCTCCACTGACTCCACTGGCAGGTGCAGCGCGATGGGGAAGATCTTCATGCCCGGCACTGCCATACAGACAGATGAGGAGCGGCAGCAAGCACAGGCAGAGAGAAAGCAGGCGGAGACAGGCAGGGTGGAGAGAGGCTTAACACAGGCGCAGGGGGTCTTGAAAATATAGTGGACAGGAGCAGAGGCAGGCGGAGCAGTGAACGAACAAGTGCAGGGGAAGAGAACGGAGGGTGGGGAATGAAGAGAGGGCGAGAGGAAGAGAGTGCAGCTACAGAGGCAGAGTGAGAGAACGAGGTTGCGACAGAGGGTTGAGAAGTAAGGATGGGGACGAGAAGCAAAGACTGGGGACAAGGGCAAGGACAGAGGGTTGGTTGGATGGATGGAAGGTTGCAGTGATCATTACTTGCTCGGTACTTCTTGAGCAGGCCTCGCAGTAGCACCAGCACACACACCTGCTCACGGCATACACCGGCCGGCAGAGAAGGAACAGAGCGAATGAGATTGCATGAGGAACAGGGCCATAGCAAAGGAGAAAAGGGCGGGGTTTTGGGTTTCTGGAGGGAGAAAGAGGCGAGGCAGGGAATGAGGTTGCATGAGGTCACAAGCATGTCTCTGAAAGGCGTGAGAGTCGTGATTGTAGGGATGGATCATGGATGTATGGACGAAAGAATCAGAGGAGGAAGACAGGGCGGAGGGAAAAGAGGGAGAACGGAAGAGTGGGGAAATGAAAGAATGCGGAAAGGAGAAGAGACGGGTTGCTTCTTCATACCTCTGCAAGGTTTGGAGGGTATCCAGCGAACCGCAGGGAGATGGGTCCAGCAGTGGAGGAAAGAACAGGCACTGCTCCTAGCACCTCCGCCTCCTGCACACACACACACACACACACACACACACACACACACACACACACCCACACCCACACCCACCCACACCCACACCCACACCCACACCCACACCCACACACACACACACCCACACACAAACACGGGGGAGGACCGGATGATGGAATGTGGCAACAACACATCAGCGCAAGCAGGGAATGACAATGCATGCAGTAAGGTGTATCACAAGGCATCCCCCAACTACCCTCTACTCAGCACCCACCTCCCCCCTCTGCCTCCCAGCACCCAAATCCCCCCTCTGCATCCCAGCACCCACCTTCCCCCTCTGCCTTCCAGCACGCACCTCATACAGCGAGTAAGCAAGCGGCTCATAGAGGTCAAACACGTCTGCAAGCGGTGAAGTAGCACTTCCAGCACTGCCACCGCTGCCACCGCTGCTGCTGCTGCTGCTGCTGATTCGAGCCGATCCTCCTGCTGCCGCCGCTGCTGAAGCAGACTCTAAGTTGCTGGCTGCGGTTTCTGGCACAGTGAACTCATAGCTGCCGCTGCTGTGGCTGCTGCTGTGGCTGCTGCTGCTGCTGCTGCTGCTGCTCAGCGCGAAACCAGACGAGGGAAGCGACGGAGGCAGGCGAGACGCAAAAGCAGGTGGTGCTGGTGATGCTGCTGGAGCTGCTGCTGCTGCTGAAGATGATGATGAGGAGTGGGAGAAAGGAGAGGCAGATTCACCGCTGGTCTCTCCTGCTGCTGCATACGTGGCGAGGGGTGTTCGTGGGCTAGAGGAGTGTGGTGTGCGTAGGAGCCAGAGGAGCTTGGAGAGGAGGTTGAGAGTGGGGATGACGCCACAAGCCACGCTCTGGCGGTACACTGCCAGACCACACTCCGCCCTGCAAAGAGAAAGGGGAGAGGGCCAGGATGGACATGCAGAGGAACTAGGTTTGGAGAAGAGCCAGGTGGAGAGTGGACGGGGAGAGATGCGAGGGAAGAAAGATGGTAACAGGTGGAAGGGCGTTGTGTGGTGAGGGTGTTGCGGGAGTGGGGATGAAGCAGTTAGGAGAGGGGTGCAAGGGAGGTGCATGAGAGACTGTGTGGAGAAGTGGGTGCAGTAAGATGTGACATGGAAGGTGAGTGGGCGGTCAGAGGGTTCAGATGCGGAGTTGAGATTGAGCAGAGCAGAGCCAGTGACTTGAGTGCATGTGAGCAAGTGACTGAGGGATCGAGTGAGTGAGCGAGAAGCACAGAGGGCAGTGCAAATAAGGTGTGATGATGTGAGAAGACAAATTTAATTTGACAAGTTTACAAAGGCATACAAGAAAAAAAAGGAGCAGTGGATTGACTGAATGACTGAGTGACTGACTGATAGACCGACTGACTGACTGGCTGACCGAATGACTGACTGACCAGTCATTGTCGGGGTGGCGGAGGTCAAAGGCCATGGGGAGATGGCCGATGACGAAGGAGAAGGACGGCTTGGGTGCCCCCGTCCTGTGCTGCTCCATGCATATCTCTGCCGCGCGTGACGACACAAGACAGGAGAAGGGGAGACGAGAGCGGGGTAGGGGCGACAGGAGGAGAGCGAGGTCCGAAGGAGAAAGGGAGGGGAATGAGAGGAGAGAGGGAAAGGGGAGTGGACAGGAAACAAGAGGAGAATTAGCACATTATGATGGTGCATGAGGCAAACAGCCTCGTCCGTCCCAAACAATGACAGACCCCTCATGGAATCCCAGCACAGCACACAAGGCCCAGCACCAGTCTATCCACCCCTGTCCCTCCTCTCGGGATTCCATTCTAGAACACAACACATGGAAAGACAGGCATGCTGCTCACTGCCCAGCGCATCCCACTGCCCAGCGCATCCCACTGCCCTCAGCCGCCTCACTGCCCAGCGCATCTCACCAATCATGCTCTCGCAGATGGCATGGCCTATGCGCGCGCCATCCACCTGCGCCTCGTGGTACAGGGAGAACGCCTGCTCCACCATGCTTCGCCTGCACCACGGACCGCACACAGGGCAAGGGAGTGGGGGTGGGGGGGGGGGGGGGAGGGGGAGGGGGAGGGGGAGAAGAGGAGGCGAGAGGGAGGACAAACACCAGGGTGATTTAGAGGCGACTCAAAAGTCCACCTGCGCCTCGTGGTACAGGGAGAACGCCTGCTCCACCATGCTTCGCCTGCACCACGCTCCACACACACGGGCATGGAGGGGGAGAGGAGAATATTCTTTAGTCGACTCAATAATCGCCCGCTCCATCATGCGCCGGCACCATGCTCCCGCACACAGGGGCACGGCGGGAAGAAGGAGAAGAAGAGGAGGCGACAGGGAGGACAAAGACCAGGGTCAGGGTCACGAGGGGGGAATGGGGGAAGGGGAATGGGGGAGAGGGGAACAGGAAAAAGGGGAAGGGGTGAGGGATGAAGTTTAGTGTGAGGGGGGATTCGTGGGAGAGAGGAGAGACGGTAATTTGAGAGAGGGGGAAGGGGGATGCGCGGATATGGGGAAGGGAAGGGGAGAGGAGGATAGAAGCAATGGGAGCAGGGGGTGGAGTGGAAAATTTAGGGCATATGGGGAGCACATGAGAGGAAGCACAATTGGATTTCATCTTATGACACGCATGGCGTGAATAAATATTGTTATTGTAGAGGTTTCATAGCAGCTTTTGGAATGCACTATGGGAATGGAGGGACTTGGGGACTTGGGGAGGGACGGACGGACAGAGAAGAAGAGCGAGGAAGAGTGAGGCGAGTGAGAGGACAGCGAGAGGACAGCGAGAGGACAGCGAGAGGACAGCGAGAGGACGGCGAGAGGACGGCGAGAGGACGGCGAGAGGACAGCGAGAGGACAGCGAGAGGACAGCGAGAGGGGGGCGAGGGCTCACTCCCTGCAGGCGGCAATGAGGAGGGCGTAGGTGGTCTTGTCAGGCTTGAGGTCCATGGCACGCATGTCTTGCAGCGCTGACAGCGCCTCCTCCACACACCCCTGCTGGCCTGCCATGCATGGATGCATGCATGGGGTAACGTGTGCACGCATGGATGCATGGGGTAACGTGTGCACACATGGATGCATGCATGGGGTGGGCAGAACGGGGAGAGGAGGGATACAGAAGGTTCAACACGGGAACAACGCGAGGGTGGGAAGGAGGGGGAGAGAAGGGGGAAGGGGAGCACGGAGTGTGAAGGAGTGATTGTTTTGATGTTTGAGGTGGATGGAAGAGCTTGGAAGGAGCTAGACGGGGGGAGAGCGGATGCAGGTGGTTCAAGGTGGGTGGCATGCGCGCGGGGACCGACTCACAGAGCGAGGTGAGGTGATGTGATGAGCAGCGCGGGGGGGGACTCACAGAGCGAGGTGATGAGCGCGTTGAACATGGGCACGGAGGGGCGCAGCATGGCGGACTGCTGGCGCTTGGCCTTCACCTCCGCGTACAGTTGCGATGCCTCGTTGGTCAGCCCCAGCTGTAATGCGACCCACACATGGTCCCGGTGGAGGGTGGCGGGAGGGAGAGAGGGAGCGAGAGAGCGAGGGAGCGAGGGAGCGAAGGAATAAGCAGAGGGAGAGGGACAGAAGATGGAGAAGGGGGGAAGGAGCAGGAGAGCATGAGGGGCGGGAGGGATGGAGGGAGGAGCAGACGGGCGGAGGGAGGGACGGGCAGGGAGAGAGGAGCGGAGAGATTTCAAGACGAATACAGAGGGAGAGGAGGGCCTTGTGCAAGAGAGAGCACCGGAAAGGCCAAAAGCGACATGCGTAGGCGCACAGGACAGAGGGAAAAGAAGTCGACAGAGGATGGGATGGAGGAGCGGGAAGTGCGAAGAGAGGGAGGGCGGAGGACGGGTGTGGGAGGAATGAGGGGGGGGGGGGGGGGGGGGGGGGGGGAGGAGAAATGGGAAAATGGGGAGAGGAAGGGGAAGGAAAAGGGGGGGTGGCAGGCATAAACGAGGTGGACATGTAGAGAGAGAGGGGGCATGAAAAGGATATGTGTGCAGGGCGAGGAGAGGGGCGTGGCATGGGCATGGGCATGGGCATGGGCATGGACATGGCATGGGCATGGGCATGGGCACGGGCATGGGCATGGGCATGGGCATGGGCATGGGCATGGGCATGGGCATGGGTATGGGCATGGGTATGATGGCGTACCCGGTTGTACATGCCCATGAGGGCAGCATAGGTGACGGTGCCTGGCTGCACGCGTGCCCGCCGCATCTCCTGCAGCAGCGCCAGTGCCGCGTCGGGCTTGTTGGCATGCGCCGCCACGTTGATCAGCGCACTGAACAGGATCTGATCATGGTGCCGCGCCATACGGGGGGGAATAACGGGGGGAGGAGGGGGTTGGTGGGGAGAGGAGGGGGAGGCCGCGCCATAAGGGGGGGATAATGAGGGGAGTAGGGGGTTGGCGGGGAGAGGAGGAGGAGGGTGGGTGAGAAGACCACAGAGAAGGTAAGGGGTGGGGTTGGAGTGGGGAGAAAATTGGTGTTGGTGGAGTGGAAGAGGGAAGGAGGACCGGAATGAAAGCGAGTGCGGAAAGCCAACATCCCAGACGTTCCTGCAGCAATTCCCTTGAAGTATCTATCGTGATTTGCTATTACCCCATATTCTGACCCCGTGCTGCTGGAGGTGCTGGTATACGACGAGAGCACCCAACAGCGCCGCAGTCATCGTGCTCTGCTTCTCCTGGCTCTTGCCTTGGCTCTCTGCTCTGCCTGCTCATCTTGCTCTCATCCTCCCTGGACCTTCACAAAGGTGCAACGTTACGTGTGAACAAGATCTCTCCCCGCTCATGACTCTTCCCTTCCCCCTCCCCCGGTTTCCCGCACCTCGTCAGGCTTGATGTTGTGCTGCTTGAGGTGCTCGTAGATGGCTAGAGTGCGTCCCTCACAGGGGAGCAACGCTGCGCCTGAACAAGCTCTCTCCCCTCCTACCCCCGCCCCCCTCCTCCTTGCATTCCTCCCCTCCTCCACATACCTCGTCAGGCTTGATGTTGTGCTGCTTGAGGTGCTCGTAGATGGCGAGGGCGCGAGGCAGGTCACCTGTCAACTGCACTCTTGCATTGGCTCCCCCTACCATTCCCCCCTCTTCCCTCCCCCTCCCCCCTCCTCTCTCGTCCGCACCTCGTCGGGCTTGATGTTGTGTTGCTTGAGGTGCTCGTAGATGGCGAGAGCGCGAGGCAGGTCGCCGGTCTGGCTGCATGCGTGCACGGCAGCCGTGAAGACCTCTAGCGACGGCCGCACTCCACCGGCGCGCATCTCCTCATACACCTCTAATGCTCGCTCCACCTGCACGCACATGCATTTGCGCATGATACATGCATGCACGCATGCGCACACATGCACGCATACAAGGGTAGTGGCAAATGCGGGAGTAGGCGGCGCGGGGAGGGGCGGGGGGGAGGAAAAGGTGGTTGGGTTGGAGAAAGGATGGAAAGGGAGGAGGACGGAAAGGGAGAAAGGATGGAAAGGGAGGAGGACGGAAAGGGAGGAAGATGGAAAGGGAGAAGTCGACAAAAGAGACAGAGTGGGAGGGGGGTGTGGGAAGGGATTTCTCAATGTGCTCTCTATCAATTCCGTCTTCATTTACATTCGCCCACCACGCTCTCCTTCCCCTTACCTGCCACCATCAAACTCGCTCCTCAGCTTCCTCCTTCCCTCCCCAATCTCTCTCCCCGCCCGCACCCTCCGCCCCCAACAGGACTGGTCTTGTCAGCCCATCCGTCCCCATTATTCCCGTCCTGTTTCTTCCCATTCACGTCTCCCCGTCCCAGTCCCCATCCAGCCCCTGTCCCGGACCCCATCCCCGTCCCGTCTCCATCTCCGTCCCGTCCGTTTTTTTAGAATTCTAAAAAAACATACCCAGTCCCCGCGTCATCCCGCACCTGGCCGCAGTTGGCGCAGGCGGCGATCACGGCGCCCATGGTGACGTGGTCGGGGGTGAGGCCCTCGGAGCGCATGTCCACCAGCACGTCGAACGCGCGCTCCCAGCAGCCCGCGCGCCCGCACGCCGTGATCAGCGCGTTGAAGATTGCGCGGTCCGGCTTCAGGCCCTGGGGGGACACGGGGGCACAGGCGGAACGGGGGGAACCGGTGGGGCGGAGCGGACAGCGGGAGCGCAGGGGACGGGGGAACAAGGGGAACGGGTGGTACCGGGAAAGAGGAGTTGTGGAAGGGGAAAGCGGGGACGCGGAGAGCGGGAGGCGAGGGTGGAAGGGAGGGGGAGGAGGGAGAGAGGGACAATTCGCGGGTGGGGAAGGGGAAGGGAAAGACGGGAGGGAGGTGAGAGGCTTCACGAAGGGGAATCAGGCTGGTGCGAGCAATGGGGAAGCGAGGGAGCGAGGCAGGCAGCGAGGCAGCGAGGGAGGATGGGCGCGCGTTACCTTGGAGATGAGGATGCCGTAGGCGCCAAAGGCCTTGGCGACGTGGCCCTGCTTGGCGCAGCCGTCCACGAGCGTGCCAAACGTGCGCACGTTGGGCTCCACGCCCGCCGCCTCCATGTCGTGATACACCTGCGCGCGCGAGAGAGAAGAGCGGAGGGAGAGGGCGGCGCAGGCAGGAGAGGCGCGAAGGGAGAGGGCGGGGGGGCAGAGGAGAGGACAGGAGAGGAGAGGAGAGGAGGGGAGAGGGAGGAAGGGGGTGGGTTGAAGGGAGAAGGAAGGGAAGGGGTATGGCGGGGACGGGGTGGGGGAGGAAGGGGAAAGGAGGTAGGGGGACGAAGAGGCAAGGGGCGGAAGGGGGTTGAGGGGCCTCCGGGTAACGGTGGACTGCACGCACTCAGTTTACATGTGTCGTGGTACCTACCAATGTACGCGTGTGGGCGTGCGCGTGTGAGTACGCACGTCTGGGTGCGGGTCTTGTCTTCGTAGTCAATCTATCTTCGTAGCAAGATAGATTGACTACGAAGTAAGGCCGGGGGCGAGGGCAAGGGCCGCAGGGGCAAGGGAGAGGCAGAGCAGTGGGTGCGCCTGAGGCGCGTGTATGGTGGCGCAGGAAGTGAGCCTGAAGGCGTAAGCTAGGCAGGGAACTAGGGTGCGGGCGAGCGGGCACTGACTGTCTCACCTTGAAGGCGAGGTCGAGCTTGGCGGACTTGCAGCACGCCGCAATGAGCGCCGTGTAAAGCGCCGTGTCCGCCCGCCACCGCGACGCCTGCACCATGCGCAGCACCTTCTGCGCCGCTGCGCGGAGCCACGCGAACGCGCAACGCGGGAGGTAAAGGAGGAGCCAAGGAGCGGGGTTCGGGGGGGAGGGAGGGAAGAAAAAGGGGGAAGAGGAGGAGGAAAGAGAGGAAGCGGTGCGGGAGGGAAGAGGGAGTGAGATGTGGGATGCTGAGAACATCTCCCAAGCGTGGCAGGTTAACGTTGAGGCGTTGATTGCGGGGGCCGCGGCCAAAGCCGGGACGGGACGTACATGTAACGTCGGCGCAGTGCGAGCAGACGGAGAGCAGCTGGTTGTACGTGGAGAGCTGCGCCGCGCCCGCCGACTCCAGCAGCGCCACGAAGCGGAACGCGGACGCCACGGCGCGCTCCGACTTGCACATGGAGAAGAAGAGGTTGTGGTAGATCTGACCAGGGGTGATGGACGGGGGGAAACGCGGGGAGGAAGCGGTGGGGAGCGCGGAGGAAGAGGGGTGATGGGGGGAGGAAACGGTTGGATGGGGGGCGGAAGCGGGGTGATGCGGGGAGCAAGAGGGGGAGGGGAGGGGGAGGGAAGAAGGAAGAAGGGGGAAAGGGTGAGGGGGAAAACAAGTGGAGCGGAGAAAGCAGGGAATATGAGCGGGACACGAGAGGATGCGGACTCGATGTGAGGGAGGCGTTTGAGGGAGGAGAGAGGAAGGAGTGAGGGAGGTGTGAGGGAGGTTAGGTTGGTGCATGGGAGCGTGTGAGCATGGGAGCAAGGAAGCATGGGAGTCCGGAGTTAGGGTTGGGTTGCACTCACCTGGTTGGGGTCGAAGAGCGCGTACTGATGCATCTGCTCCAGAAGACCCACGCATTTGTCCAACCTGGCGTCAGGGGAACGGTGGGGGGTGGAAACGGGGGAAGAGGAGAGGGTAAGAGAGGCGAAGAGCACAGAGGGGTGCATGCCTTCCTTTCACAACCATATCTCACAACGACTTGGTCGCACATGGTAGTTCTCGTGTGCAGCTTCTCTCGTATACTCTCATATCTGCTCTCTTCCCACGTGTTCGCATCGCAACAGACAGATCAATTCGGGCTTCGAACTCTCGAAGGTCTTGCCCGACGTTTCGCAAAAGTGCTTGAATTGGCCAATGACGAGCCCAACGACGCTGATAACCTCAGATCCACACCACAGATAGACAGACCGACCGTTGACTTTCGCAAACGACACACCGTTTTCTTCGTAAGCCGTTACAGTCACAGCGCCGTTACAGACGCCGCAACGCTTTTGGCACAAACACCACTCATAGGCTGGAACACATCCCGCCAAAATGCAACAGAAACCAGCATGTACATCACACCACAACACACCACACTACACAACACATAACATACCTCATAGCGAGTTGAAACTGACACGCACCTGCCGCCGAGTCGGACCCATCGGTTGTACGTCGCAATGTATTTCTCCACGTCACCACCAGCCTCAACGCTCACGTCCTCCTCCTCCGCTTTCGCCGCTGCGCGCCTCTTCTGCTGCTGCTGCTGGCGCCGTTGCATCTCCCCATCTCTCAACACAGGCCTCCGCGTCGCCTCGTCCACATCCTCCGCCTCCTGCGCGCCTTTCTCCAGCGCAACTGTCGCTCCGGTGACGTTGCCATGAGCAGCGGGGGGGAGCACCTTCGCACCCTGCGCACCTGCGTTCCCGCTGCCGCCACCGCTTCCGCCGGAGAAGCTGGAGGAGCGTTGCGGGCTGGACGCACGCCCAGAGCTGCTGCCAGTGCTGCTGCTCCCTGCGCCGCATCCGCCGGAAAGGCCGTCTGATTCGTTGTCGGAGCTCAGGCCCGGACTGGCCCTCGCAATGATTCTGACGCGTGGTGTGTTGGCGAGGGCGATGGCGCGAAATGCGGCAGGCTGGCATGACAGCAGGGAAATTTGGGAAAACGAAAAAAACGAAGCGAAAGGAAAACGGTACGGGTGGTTGTTGGAACGGTATGAGGAATGCGACTAACGAAGAGAGGTTCCTGCTTGTGGGAACTAGCGTCACCGTGTCAGTCACAGATAAAGTGACCATGAATAGTTTTAAGGTACTTCCAGGACCAGGAAAATAAAACTAATGGCACTACCAAACTGACGGCGCCACTTCGGCGTGCGCTAGAGGTCAGACGACTGGTGACCAAAGCAGGCGCATGCGTTCGGGAACCGGAATTGTAGAGAGAATAGGAGAAGAGAATGAACGAGGGGTGAAAGATGGAGGGAGGGGCGCATGAGATCAAGCCATTGGAAAGTGGAGCATAACTCATATGTGCGTGGAACGAGATAGATTCACGTCAGAGATGGATGGCTACACTGAAAACGACCAAGGTAAGAGAGAGATGCTAGGTAGAAAGCGGGAGGTATGTGTGTATGTAGTGGAGGATAGATAGAGAAGCTGAACAAGTGCGTCAGCTGAAGCTACGAGAAATCGGACAGTTCTAAACGACATCAAGTATTGCGCAAGGTACTGGAAGGGTGGATATAGGATGACTGATGATTTGATTCGTGCAGCAGCACGTTTCTGTCGGACAGCACGGACTCGTGCGGTAGCATACCTTGTTCAGCATTCCAGGAGAGGCGGAAATGAATGAGCTGAAAAGCGAGGTCTCTGAACGCGCTGCTTGCAGAACAGCAACCCCCCGGTTCAGTGTTAAATCCGTCGCCATGGTCAGGCGGGAGGGAAGCTGCAAAGAAAGCAAGTTGACCCGAAACACCTCGCTATATGGAAGTTATAGTATTTTTAGGTGGTTGCTGGAGCGCGTACTGCGACAATGACGCTGAATGGCGTCCCGCGACAAAGCCAAGAGAGAAACTAGGCCGCGTAGTTGGGTAAAGATGTAAACTTCGAGACGGGTACGCAGCACGACCCAGAAAACACCACAACCAGAATAGATGCCAAGCAGTCAGAACGGGATGTTTTGACTGCGTCGTCAGTGTTGGGAAGGGAACTTGGGAGGGAGGTAGGTGCAAGCAACCCCCAACCACAGTGGAGGGGAATAGATCAGCGAACGGACTCAAAGCCAAACCAAGGACCTGCCAGTCTGTTGCTTTGCTTCGCTTTCCTCCTGTGTGGCATGGGATGGTGTTGCAATGGTGGGTGGGTGGGAGGGTACAAAGGCAAGGGCGGGTCCTCCTGGGTTGTGTTTGTTGGTTCCCTTGTTTCTCCCCTATTCTGTGGGATGGTTGTGCATGTTGTGGCGGGTGGGTGGGTTCACATTCACAGATTCGACCTCAACTGGGTGGGAAAACAACGAAACAAAACTCGCAGGTTTGACAAATACGCGCAGCGCGCGTTCTGTGGCTTGGTTTGGGGCGCCACCCCACGAGGCTGCGCGGGACACCATGGAGAGTTTGCCACATGGCAGATAGGGTCGCCAGCGGAAAAGGCATTCTTTGGGAAAGAAAGGGAATGTTTGCCACGTTAGTGTCCAACAGTGCTCACAGTGAAGGCACCAGGCCGTCGATTCTACGTTAGGCAGAATGGATGGCTTGAAAGAGATCTTGCGAAGGAAAAAACGTCTTCATTAACCTCACACCCTCTGCTGATGTGGCTAAAAAAGCCGTAAGATCTGGTGAGTCTGACGGGGCCTGGTTGCTTGCCAGCATGTTTCACCAAGCAGCAAAACACTGTTTGGGATGCACGTGACAGCAAGCGTAATAAATATCTCCACCACAAAGTGAACACTCCTAGTCACCATGTATACCGTACAGTGTGGGCAATCTCTAGTGCTTGTAATAATACAGCTCTATTTTTTCGCCTATTATCTTCTAAATCTCTAATCATATTGTAACTCCCAGGATTAAGTTTATTTTTTTAGTTTGTGATGAAATTCATTCCATAAGTGAATCTGACCAAGGCTCGTACTTGATCTAATATCTAAGTATGACTGCATGTTTTTTAAAGTGTTAGTTTTACCTTAATATATATAAGAGAACAATAAAAGGGGACTCCACATTGCTATCGAATCAAGCTGATTCAACACATTATTGCGTAATACGAGTCACCACCACCACCAGCGATATGCAGTAAGGTTCAGCTTTTCTCATCAACCTTGGAACAGGAGATTCGTGATTCGTACTGGATCTTCAGCGTCGCGTAGGTTAGGTCTCTTAGAACGCCACCAAGCCATACTGTCGATTTCGACCAGATTTGCCTTTAGCGTTTCAACCCTCAACGCGAGGATGTCGGCCATGGCGTTCTTGGATGCGCAGCAGGCCGCGCGGCCAGACCTTGCGGTCTGGTTCGCAGACATGGGGGATCTGTACCAGAAAAAGCTATGGCATCAGCTGACAATCAAATTGGAGCAATTCCTGGCACTTGCCGTGCTGCAGGTATGGATTGGAAACTGAACTTGCTGAACTTGTTTACCCTTTTTTTAGACTCTGCTAATTATGTTCTCAGATCCACCCGTGTGACTGGGATGTTTCTGTAGGCTGGAGACATCATGATCCAGCTGTATCAGAACTTTATTTCGGACTTCGAGACAAAGATAAACCTTCTGAAGCTTGCTCACTTCTCAGTGATCATCTCGCGGCAGTATGCCGACAAAACTGAGGCTATAGCGTTTTTGGAGGGAATAATCGAGAAACTGCGGGGAACAAAAAGTAAGAGGATAGAGGAGCCAGTGGTTTATGTGAAGATGCAGATCGCTGCTTTAAAGCTGCAATCAGGAGATCGGAAGGAGTGCAAGGCCCTTTTGGATGAGGGTAGGGCAATCATTGACAGCATGGCGGATCTTGACCCCTCAGTTCACGCCAGCGTTCACTGGGTTAGCTCGCAGTATTACAAATCGAAGCAGGATTTCGCTGAATTCTACAAGAGTGCGTTGCTTTACCTGGCCTACACGTCCGTCGACACACTTACTGACCCCTTCAAGCTGGTACGCATCTATCAGTCAACGTAGTTGGATTTGTTGGATATTATGGACGAGTGTCGATTGACGCCTTTGTGGTCTCTGTTTAGGATTTGGCTGTCGATCTGTCTTTGGCGGCGCTGCTTGGTGAAAACATCTACAACTTCGGCGAGCTTTTGGCGCATCCGATTGTAAGTTCTAAATACTGTGTCATGATTTTCTGGTAGCGAATCCCAGTTTGCTGGAGGTTCAGTAAACGGTTTTCTATTGGTTTGCAGGTCGGTGCTTTGGAGGGCAGCCAGTTTCAATGGCTGTATCACATTCTTCACGCGTTTGAGCATGGTGACCTGCACAAGTATGATGAGTTGTGCTCGCTGTATGCGGCTCAACTCAACGCCCAGCCAGCTCTGGTGGAGAATGAGAGACGTTTGAGGGAGAAGATCACAATTCTGTGCTTAATGGAGCTGATTTTCAGGCAAGCGTTTCTCTCAATCTGTACAGCTTGTCCTGTTTTGTAGGGCGTGGAGTAAGTATTGATTGTGTTTCTTTGTGCAGCCGGCCTTCTGATGACCGTACCATTCCGCTGACAACAATTGCGGAGAAGACCAAGCTTCCCTTGGATGGCGTGGAACACCTCTTGATGAAGACCCTCTCTGTATGTACTTTAGTTTGGTATTGAATTTTACCCCCTAAATAACATTTGTCAATGATGTGTGGTGACTAAATTCATGGAACTGTTTTGAGTGGGTGTTTTCAGGTGCACTTGATTGAAGGCGTCATTGACCAAGTTGATGGGCATGTGCGGGTTTCGTGGGTGCAACCTCGGGTTCTCAACCTTCAACAAGTGGCTGGTCTGCGGGATCGGCTTGACATGTGGCTAAGCCGTGTTCATTCCACTTTGCTGGCGGTTGAAGCAGAAACTCCAGATCTACTGGCAAGCTGATAGAGCTGAATCTTTACATGGTATACTTGCTGCCCAGCTGAGTGCCGATTATTTTAGACTAGGGACGAATACCTTGCTGCTGGCAGTATAGCTCAACCAGTTGACTTGAGACATTAAATTTACGGTTTCTCACCTTACATCATTTGCATACCTGCTGATGTGACTGCAATCTCCTTGTTATGGTTGTGAAGAGTGAAACACGCCTCTCCACCATTCTTGCAACATTAACAAAGTACTACAGAAAGGTACTACAGGTATTTGGTCCACTAGTAAATACTCTACTAGATACTAACAAAGTTTACTACAGAACGTTGCACTGGAAAAATCTGGTACCGGTATGACAAATTTGCTTAGTAGAGAACCGTGCATCAAGGCTTCATTTATCCAACAAGGCTCAATGGCAGGACCACACCAAAGGCATTACTAGCAGGGCTGTAGGATAACCTACGTACAATGACAACTCCAACAATGGAGTGGCTATTAGAATCAGATGTGCCCTGTTGCTTCATAGCCCTGCACACTGCCATTTGACACGTTACTGGTTGATCTCCTTCTTCTTAGCTTGCCACAACCGATCGAGGGAGGAGTCTCCCTCGCCCTGCAAAAAACAAGCAGGGCATTCCGGGGTCAGATCAAGCGGGGCAGAAACGCCTGAACTCATCAACGTGTTTGCGCAGAAACACCATCATTGAACTTGCAAAAACAACGACAGCGACGCTACCCAGCAGTACGCTAATTACATAACAATAACCACTTATGCGTGTTAAGCTAAATGTCCCCAAGCAAAGCTCATTTTGAATCCCTACTTATGCTACTGCCGCTCATACACGAGACGTGAGCTGACATGCGCTTACCTGGGCGCGCACGAAACCGCAGAGCGCGAAGGTGTTGTACTGGCCGGTGTACACGCCATTCGCATCGAGGTTGCCGACGTTGATCTGAATGGCGGCGTGGTCCTTGGACGTGATCAGACGGTTGGTAGCCGAGCTGAAAGTGAATAAGGGAAGGGGAATGAAGAGAGGCGATTACTTGACGTACTTGCAAATGACACCATTGCAGAAAGACACTACGAGACGTCCTGTTACCAATTGTCGTTCCCCCTTTTGGAGAGTACGAAGGCTGTCAGCTAATTCGGCGTTGTGCTGAACAGGCGGAATCAGGCATCTAGAACGCACGTATCAGCGAAAACGTCACATGGTACCAACAACGGTAACCCTAAACCGCGTCCCTGGTTTATAGCGACGAGATATTCGGACTAACAGCCGGGAGGACTAGAAAGAGCACTATGAGACTGTGCAAGAAGATCGATTAGGCGTACCGCGCCAGGCAAGGGCCACGGATGATAATACATAATTCAGCGCCCGTTCGAATTATTATCTCCACCCTTTCGAGCTACGTACCACTTCCTCGGGGTGTACAGATCCACGAACTCTCCGTCCTCGTTCTGCATGGTGGCGGGTTTGGCGGTCAACCGCTAGGAGGCGAGGAGAGGTACGTAGGTAAGGCGGGATGCACGGAGAAGGAGAGAAAGGGCTCAAATGAGGTTTTGGATGGAGAAAAAGAGGCTCGAGAGGCAGCGGCGAGGCGGAAGAGGCAGGTTTTGGGGAAACAGATGCCCTGCGGAGAGCAGGAGGAGGACATTCGCGGGAGGGTCGCGCGGAGACTTGTTGGATGATTGGCGGAGGGATGAGAGAGGGAGTGGCGGAAAACTCGCTGTAAGGGGGATCCATGTTTTGGTTGTGGATTAACAAGTGTAGCATGTAATACGCAATTGACCAGTCAACTGGTTATCTAACGCAATCTCCCCACAGGTTAGACACAATGAGACCGGCATTCACGTATTTTTATTCAATCTACATGCTGATTAAAAAAAACTTAACAATTATTCAGGATAAGCAGCATGTTGGAGAAAATAAATTGACTTATGCCGTCATCGCCTGGATATAAGACATATATGTCTTATCTCATACACTATAAAAAAATGTTAGGGTTGTCTTGTAATTGGGGAGGTCTTGGGTGTCTTTCAAGATTTATAAATGGACAAATTTTTATGTAGTATGTAACGTTTACAAAGTCTCCAGAAACCACACAAATTACATATTCATTTAATTCGGCCGACCTTGGGGGTGATGCATGCGTCGCCATCACGTGCCACGTGTGAAAATAGTAGGTAGAGTTAGGAGCCATAGCTAGGTAAGTCCTAGCTAGGCAAGAGAAGTTTAGGCAAAAGAGGAATTCACTAGCAGCAATGAGGATACATATAGCAAACCCTAGATGGGTTGTACTCGCTATAGAGCACCCCACTACAGGCTAGAGAATAACATTCTGACACACCCCCATAGCCAAAGTGGGGTGTAATCAGTACAATGAGCAAGCAGGTATAGAGCAGGAGTTCACAAAGGTAAGCAAAGCTAGAGCTAATCACAGCGAGCAAGTGAGGAGGAGGAGGAGGAGCTGTGGAGGTAGAGAAGATGGGAGGCAACGACCGAAGCTGCAGAGGCACGGGCACAGGAGCGGCTGACTCAGAGGCTACCGAAGCAAGGGCGACGGACTACTGGAGTAACTGGCTCGGCGGCTATAGAAGAGCGGCAGGAGCAACGGACCCACTGGCGACTGGTGCAGCAGGCTCACTGGCTACCGAAGCAAGGGCGACGGACTACAGGCGCTGCAGGCGACACGACAGGTACCTCCACACAACCTCCTCCAACTGCCCCACACCCTCGACACACACCCACTGCTCAAACCCTAGCTCCACTCCCACGCACCCCCCTAAAACCCTAAACCCTAGGCTCCCACACACCCACCCCCCTCAGCGGCAGCTGCAGCAGTGGGAGACCAGGGAGGAGGAGGAGCAAGGGGAGTAACACACAACCGCCACCCCCACACTCCTCACCCCCAAACCCTAATTCAGGAGAACGGGCAGCAGTAGGGGTGGGGCACCGTCAGAAGCACGGGGGACAGCGAGCAGCTCATGGACAGAGAGGAACGGGCCGCCCACGGGCCTGGCACAGCCCGACGAACCGCGCGCAGGCGGCCCGAGCCGCGCGCGGGCCTGGCGCAGCCCGTACGGGCCGCGCGCGGGCCTGGCGCAGCCCGTACGGGCCGCGCGCGGGCCTGGCGCAGCCCGTACGGGCCGCACGCGGGCCGGGGCGCAGCCCGTACGGGCCGCGCTCGGGGCTGGCGCAGCCCGCGCTGGCCAGGACGGGCGACGGGGGACGACGGGCTGGTCCCCGTCGCCCGTCGAAGTGCCCCCCGGGGGCGACGCGCGGACCGACGGGGCAGAAGGCCGCCGCGCGCCTCGGGGCGCACGGCGGGCAGAGAACCGCCGCACGCCTCGGGGCGCACGGCGGGCAGAAAACCGCCGCGCGCCTCGGGGCGCACGGCGGGCAGAAAACCGCCGCACGCTCCGAGCGCGCGGCGGGATGAAAAATCCGTCGCACGCCACGGGGCGTGCGACACAGAGAGTGGCAGTAGCAGCGGAAGCAGTGAGGTGGTGAGCCCACCCACAGGATCGACCCAAGGGGATCGACCTGCTCTGATAGCATGTGAAAATAGTAGGTAGAGTTAGGAGCCATAGCTAGGTAAGTCCTAGCTAGGCAAGAGAAGTTTAGGCAAAAGAGGAGTTCACTAGCAGCAATGAGGATACATATAGCAAACCCTAGATGGGTTGTACTCGCTATAGAGCACCCCACTACAGGCTAGAGAATAACATTCTGACACCACGTGAGGGACGCAGCGAAGCTGCCTGTGCTGGCAACATCCCTCCCTGTTGGCAGCATCTTACCCGCCGAGTTCGCGTTTCACAATGGTAAAAATATACGTTATATTTCATTTTCACTATAGTACATTACGGTTTCGCTTATAAGACACATATGTCTTAACTCGTACACGCACCAAGATATCTTATAGTCGGAATCACCCAAATATAAGAAACACCCCAAGTAAAGACACCCCCTGTCTTCAATTCGCCACTGTCTTATATCCGGGCGTTTACGGTACAATTCAGTAGTTCGTTCGGGTAGCGCCCCAGCCTTCGCCGGAGGTACCCCGGCCGCTTGTTCCGCCGCCAGATGCGGCGCCCCATCCACCGCCAGCATTTGCCCAGGTACCGCCGGTGTTGCCCCAACCGCCAGTGTCGCTCGTTCCCCAGCCAGCGTTGCTTCCCCACCCCCCTTCATTGGAAGCGCTCTCCTCTTCCTCAGCGCCCCATGCGCTGCAGGCGAAAGTTCCGCGTCCTTCGGCGATGCTTTTATGGCGAAGCTCTTCTGCTTCGCGGCGCGCCAGCTCCTCTTCTTGAGCAATAGTGAGTTTCTTCTTTGGGTCGGGGTCGCGCCAATGGGGGTAGACCTTCAGAAATGCTTGCTTCGTGTAGGGGCGCGATGTCCCTTCCGCGTCGAAGGTTCCGTGGCTTGTGCCGCGCAGTATCCCTTGGAGATGTCGGGACGAGGGTCTGGGGAGAGGATGTTCCTCGGTTCCGAAGATGTTGCGCGTTGCGATCTCAAGCTCCATGGTCGACATGCCCTCTTCAGGTGGCGCGAGTCGCTCGGCTTCGGCGATTGCGGCAAGTCCACGTCCGGCGATGGCGCTTGTCGAGGCGGTCGGCGTGTGGCAATCCCTGCAGATGCCATCAGGCCCGGGGTAGTGGAGCGCGACTTCGCGAGGGTGCGGATGATCCGGCACCCACGGTCTACCATCTGGATGTTTCCAGTCGGAGGGATGGATCTCCTTGAAGCGGAGCGGTACGAGGTCGATTAACTCGTCCGTGTCGCCGATAAAATCGGGGATGTCAGTCAAGTATATATACTCCATTCTCTGATTGTGCCTGCCCGAACTGCCTGCGCCCCTTCTTCGACGCCGTGTAGTGTAGGAGGATGTCGCGTGTGCGGAGGTCGGTGCTGAGCTCTACCCCGCAGTCCATGTGTTGCGCCGCCGAGAGGAGATTGAAGCGCAGATTCTGGACGATTAACACATCGTTCAGCGTGATGTGTGTGCGGCTCCCATGCGCCTTCAGCACGACGATGCCTTGCGCGCTTGCACGCAAACGAGTGTTGTTCGCCACGGTGACGTAGGTGACAGTGGGGGTCGCGACAGCGTTAGAGACAAAACGCTCGGAGCGGACCAGTGCTGCCCGCAACAGCTGTCGAGGTACCAGGTGTTGTACCTTTTGTTGTCATCGCGCGCGAGCAGCGCCAGTCACGGCGTGACGATGTGCGGTGTGTCGAATTTCAGGAACTGTTCACGCGATATCCAGTCGAGAGGAGCCGCCAGTGTATCAGGTACGTGCGGGGGGCTTTCAAGCAACGGGATTGGGATATTCCAATCCTGGTCGTTGTCGTCACTGAAGTCGTGTCGGGGAGTGAACGGGTAGTTAGCTTCGAATGCCCCGATAGAATGGCGTGCTGGCTCTGGTGGCGGCGTGCGCACGCGGCGACGTCGAGATCCGCTCGTTTGCGTCATTGTCATGTTCCCAATGATATTGCGGGCGGTCGCAGGGTGTGACGGCTGCTGATGCTGGTGCTGAACCGTTGGATTCAGGTTGCGTGACGGGGGCTGATAGCCATGGGCTTGACGCGTGTCGTTTCGTGCGTCTTGTTGGCCGGGCCAGTTGCTCGGATTGGTCTGGCGGGGGCGAGAGCGGAATTTGCATCGCTCCGCCAAGTGCTTGAAGGTTCTGTAGATTTTGCAGTATAGGCGCCGTAGATTTTGCAGTATAGGCGCCGCGGTCGTCGCTCTTCCGTGTTGTCGGCGTAGAAGGCGAGTCGTTCCCGGTCTCGTCGCGGCGCAGGTCCCTGCTGGTCCATATCTCTTTGTTCGACGAGAAGGGCGGCGCAGAGGGCTGCTTCTGAGATAGCCCCCTGTTGCCGAAGAAGCGCCTTGCAGGGTCGCCATTCTGGGCCGAGTCCTGCGAGAACAATATTCACGAAGATTTCTTCCGAAATTGAATTTCCCAATTTCGCGATTTGATCGCGTAAGCTCCGGCAACGGTTGATATAGGTGTTGGCCTTCTCTCCAGGGGCCATTTTTGTCTCCAGTAGCTGCTGGAGCAGGCGGCTCAAAGAAACCGAATCCTTCGGTTAGTATACTCCGTTGAGGTGCCGCCAGGCGTCGAGCGCATGAGCAGAGGTGGTCTTGTAGGAACGAATTCCTAACTGCTCTCCCGGCGACATGTTGCGCAACAAAACGCCATACGCCATCAGCGATTCGTTGAAGTACTGCGTCCTGGCGTCAACGGTGTCTTCAAAGGGTCCCGCGTAACTCTCGTCGAAGTAATGAAAGATCTGCGTGTTTTGCAGCAGCAGCTCCAGCTCGAAGCTCCAGGTGTAAATGTCCTTGCCGTCAAAGCAGGCACTTGTCTTTATTTTTTATATGCTCAAAAACCTTGATTGAGCTGAGAGAATTGCTTCATCGCTGGGACGGGGAGTCTTAGGTGTTGAGCCATTTGTGCTGAGA